ATAATTTATTCTTAAAAAATAGAAAACATACCGCCGACAGCCGGATGGTGAGGCAGTTAAGGTAGCAGCTTATCACGCTGAGGACCCGGAATCGAATTCGTCCTGGTCATAAATTCATAAAACTCCAAGAATAAGATATGTCGGGCCCCATCCGTTACCACCGATTGTGGGCCTGGCCTAACCCATCATGGGCTTGGTGACCATAGGGAAAGAGTTAAACGGCATTACCTGAAATCCATGATTGCTCTTCAATATCTATCTTCATATTATGCGTTTGCCTTGTTATATAAGTAAATTAACCTACAAATTAAAGGAGTTAACAAGTATTCGAGGCCATCATCGTCATTTTCAACAGCACCACAGCTTGACAACTTGCGGGCGACGTGGCAAAGCTTTGTTCTAATGCGCGTGACGTGGCAAACATCATTGAACAAAACCACAGCTGTGATCAAGTTGAAATTTTCTAAACAGAAAGTTATTCTGTTCTGGAAATATGACATAACTAACGATGTAATCTCTCCATTAAACTGCGTTAGCATAAATTGACTCTAATTGCAACGTGGCGCTTAAGTAAGATTGATGTGTCTAAAGTAAGCCACATAAATTACGTAATTGTTCGAAACATCTAAGAAAACGACAGCCCAAAATCAGGTAAAATATCAAATTTAAAGGGTAATCTAAATTAATTAAATACTTTTTTCAGCATTAATGGTCGTAAAGTTTCTCGGTCGGATGCTAGAATAACGGAATAATTTTGAAATTGTTAACCAATTACTCGCAATTAATTAGAAGATTTGACAAATTTAATGAAGGGGACTCTTCAAGTTATAGATAGTTGACCAATCAGCGACCAATATCGATAATATGTTTGAGCAGTTTGACATCGTGTCACTTCAGGGTAACGAAGGACACCATCGGGTTACTTTAAAACAAAATAACCTCTTTAAACTTAAATCGTCAAGCCGAATTAAAATTAAACTTTACTGTTACAAAATAAAATTAAAAACGGAATAAAAGTGGGAAAATGTTTTTACAGATATAATTAGAAACATTCTAAACGTAGGCTATATCAGCACCCGCACCCTCACCACTTAATTACAGTCAACAGTTAATACTGCTTTTTTACATCCGATAATTTTTATATAAAAAATCGTAACAGATGGCTTCACCACAATTTTACATTTTTTTTCGGGAAAGTTACTCTACTTGTTGCTAAATTTGTTGTGGTCTAAACTATCAATTATTTGGAAAATGAAGAAAAACTTAAGATTAGGATTTAACAGTTTAGGTTTGGTTTGTTTATCGACAACGCGACACGTGGGCTTTCTGCCGAAGGGGTATGCCTCCCAGGTGGATTTTTTAAGAGAAACTGGACCGTATTTAGGTGCTATAAATGTAAAAAAAAACACGGAAAATTCCACGTGCCAGTCGGTTGGCGAGGCGAAAATCCATGACCAACTGTATTCAGTGGTTTTACTGGTGGGCCAATGCTATTTTGACTTGGTGTTTTTGGTCGTGTCGGGAGTTTGAACTGGTTTTATTAAAAATTTACAATGTTTACATTTTGCAATGCATTTTGAGGTACATCTTATAATATATATTGTATATGTAAGCCTATATATGTGATATAATTTAGAATGAACACTAGATAAATAATTCAATTAAAAAATATTACATTTTATATATTTATTTTTTATATACTTTTTGAAATTTTAACAGTTTTTTAAGTTGAATATGGGAAACTTGAATATATACTTTTGGTTCTTTGCCCTAATCGGCATCGCTGGTCTCATCTACTGGAGACTTTCAAGTTAGTAAAATTCATATTTAAAAAATAATAAGCTGAATCAATATAGTTTTTATATAAAATATTTGTTTTAGTTTTTTTAGGGTGGAAAACGTACGTGTTATTTGAAGCAGCCGTCGATGTATTTTTCGTGGAAACTTCGGGAAATTTTTTAAACCTTCGTCAAGCGTGCTCCATCGAATCAGCCGCCATTCATCACAGTCAATCATCAATTAAAGTGATGATTTTAAAGGATGCCGACGATGCTTACGGTTTAACGAAAATGTATCCAAATATTAAAGTAAATCGAATCGATTTAAATGATACCTTCGAAGGAACCCCTTTGAAAACATGGTTTAGAAGCAAACAATGGGCTACGAGTATATTTAGAACAAACGACATCAGTAATGCGTTACGAATAGTATTAATTTGGAAATTCGGAGGAATATATCTAGATTTGGACGTGGTAGTCCTGAAACCTCTCTACAATATAAATAATTTCGCGATAATGCAAGATAAATCGATCGTAAATAATGCAATTTTTCGATTCGATCAAGGGCATAACTTTCTGTACAAATGTTTACAGAATTTGGAGAAAAGTTACAGGAAGAATGTTTGGGGCTGTATAGGCCCAAATCTTTTCACGAAAATTGTAAAGGACTACTGTAAAATTCGTTCTTTAAGCGATCTATCAGCTTTGAATTGTGATATGGACGTTCTACCCGAAAATGCTGGTTATCCCATTCCTTATTATAAGTGGAAAGAATATTTTCGTCCACCTACCCCTAAAAACAAACACATATTGAAAGAAAGTTACGCGATTCACGTTTGGAATGCCAAAAGTAAAAATGAAATGTTACGGATTGGTTCCGGAAGCATTTATGAAAATGCTATGAAAGAAAATTGTCCCTTTATGTATGAAAAATTTAAAAAATGAAAACTGATGTATTCTGGTATATGGTTGGGTAATACGTGCGTATTCACAACGGAGATTTATAAGTCAGTGTATGAAATTAACCAATAAGCGCTCACGTAATTAAACTAAAAATAAATTATCATTTATTTTTACTTTAAATTAATTACGACTAATTTACGACTTTTGGTTTTTGTAAACTCTTTCCATCTCGTGGCGGAAACGGATTAACGCGAGTTTCTGGCCAGATATATTCTGGAAGCTGTAGTTTGGCATTACCACTCTATGCTGGATGCCTTCCGGGAGATCTTTTTAAGATTAACTGGCCCATCGTCAGGCGTTACAGATGTGGAAAGACCCGGAAAACTTCACGTTGCCATCCCTTCCTGGCGAGGCGCGAATCCAACGAACGAACTCCCAGTGTTCAGGGAACGGTACCGCTTGGCCACTGATGGGCCAACCACTGATCTAAAGAACTAATATTAATATAAGGCTAGGGCCGAGCTCATAATGGGATTTAAAGGCTCCTTAAGGCAGAGACTCCACTAGCGTAAAAACGGGCGTAAAAACTTTTAATCGCGTGACCTATTTGCATTTGCATCTGGATTGAGTTAGAGGAACGGCTAGCGAAGTTTTTACGATGTACAGTACCACTATCGAAGTTATAAAGATAATGATTATATTATACGAGTTTTTTCTCTACTATAATTACAAATATATTAACTTCTATTATCGTATTATTAATTAAGAGAATATACAGCACTTATAAGCTTAGCTTTTTTTATTATATACTCCTCTAAATTGAAGGATCTTCCTTTGGCCTTCCATATCGCGTGTTTTAGGCGTCCATTATTATAATCGGGATACTTCTTGTCGTAGATACACGAACACTTTCGGATGTTATCGATAATTCTTTGCAGATCTATTCTAGAACAGCCACGAGGGATCGTACACAAAAGCTCGTTTTCCGCCATTTTCGCACCGTGTCACAATGATCTAGATTTCACTGACTTCTGATTGGTGGATAGTACCGTTTTACGGCCGTATTCTCGTCGAAACTTGAACAGTGCTCAACTCCCTTTTACGCTGATTTTACGACCTTCTCGGGCCGTGACCATGATACCCGAGATGATATCATGGTCACGTGATTAAAAGCTTTTACGGCGAAGGTTATGCCCGTTTTTACGCTAGTGGAGTTTCGGCCTGACTGTCAAAGTAACAAAGTGCCAAAACAAGATGGCGACAAAAGCCACTTCACTTCTCTTCTCTCGCCATCTTGAGAAAATTATTCCTTTTCGTTGGATTTTAGTAGCCATTTTGGAAGGAAACAGTACAAAATAAGAGAAAAGTTTAAAATTTATTAAAATGTTAAATAAACTGTTAAAATTTTAATTAAGTCGAATTTTTGAGAGAAAATAATTCAAGTTAAAAGTGTGCGAAAATAACTCCTTTATTTAAATGTCTGCTGATGACAACTGGTTATTACCAACATATGAAAGGTTCAGGTATGTCTGGCAATTATATAATGAGTTTATTATTATTAATATATATTAATAAAAATAATATATTTTATTCTTTATTAGTAAATTCNTATATGTCTTTGAACTTGCATTTCGTTGTAATAATATTAAATGGGTGTTGGATTTGTATTTCTTTGTTTTAATAGTGAATTCCAACTTATACATTGTTAATAACATAATTTTATATACGTGCCTATCTTGCCCCATTACTGTTGCCCCTATACCAAGGGCAATTTTAATTATTTTCATTTCCAAACTGATTTTAACCAGTTCTATAGTAAGAAAACATTCCAATAGACAATATACAAAGCTTTCTTTTATCAGTTTACAGCAGTATTTATTACACAAAATTTAAGTAAAGCTTAACATGCTGATCTTGCCCCGGTCTCCCCTAGATGTAATAAAGACACAAATTTTTCCAGTTCAATGAGAGTGACTGAAAAGTAAATTTCCGTGTGGACACCTAGTCCTGAAACAAATTAGTTAGAAAACAAATGACGGACAATCTACTAAGTTTAACATGTTTAAATTTTTACAGCTATGGTGAGATACGTTTATAATTTACAACAACCTTGTTGCGTCCTTTGAGTATCCAGACTCTGCCCTGTAACCCACGGCAAACAGCAGAGGCAGTGAAGGTATCAGAACCTATTGGAAGACTCGTAATCGAATCCGGGTGAACAACTTCGGAACATTTTTCGAGAGTGGTCTGTTTCGAATATTATATATCGGGCATTTTTCCACACCACCCGACGGCTCCATTGTGGACCTGACCAAACCTACGTTAGGCATGAAAGAAAAGGTTCTGTTGCTGCTCACAGGGAAAAAGAAAAACAAATGGTGGAGGTTCCATTAAAAAATCAAAATTTATTAGGAGGCTCGAGATTCACATAGAATGTCCCGAGTAACTCTAAAATAACGCTAAGGATATTGATATTTATACTTTACAGTTAGCAGTGGCCCTCCCCAGAAAGAGGCAAAGGTACTCTGGCACCTCTGAAAAAAATAAAAAGAAAACAAACTAGTAAATTTTACAAAAGATTTTCCTTAAATAAAATTTATTTTTTATTTATATGACATTGTATCTTGTTTTTCTTATGAATCAGCGAGTTGGAAATTTTACGATTCCCACAAAGTTTTATGAAGTTCCTTATGATCACGTGGTAGGATTTTATCGAATTCGCATTAAAAACTATTTCTTTATCAGTTTAACTCGACTTCCCAAGATTAAATTTCGAGTACACCACTAATTAGAAGAGAAAATCAATTATCTACAGCAGGGCTTCTTAAACTTTTTTTGTTCACGACCCCATTTATGATTGTGATTTTTTTCACGACCCAAAAATATAAAATAAAGATATATACAAATTTGCAGAAACAATAATGGTGTGCTACCACAGTTCACTTTTGTGTTACAATGGAACAGAGACAACTGAATACACTGAAAAATGACAACACTACACTAGTTCACACTACAATCAGTGTTGCTGGATCATTGTCTCGCTGCATTAAGCCCTGGTCACACTATGCGATTTCTAGCCGCGCAGGCGACTGCAACCGCGACGGCTGTTCCCGTTAAGCCCTGGTCACACTATGCGATTTCTAGCCGCGCAGGCGACTGCAACCGCGACGGCTGTTCCCGTTAACTAGTAATCCCCCCTCGAAAACCGGCGCGACTGCAACCTCAAGTAGAAACAAAAAGTTTGTTCTACTCGCGACGGTTGCAAACGCGCATCCAATCAGCAAACGCCTTTGAGCCACGTCATACGGTGGCAACAATGAAAATAGTTCATTATCATGGCGGATAACAAGAATATGGATACGTGTTTAGAATCCAGATTGATCGAGATTATACAGTCTTACGAATGCCTGTGGGACTTTAATTCTTCATTATATCGAAGAAAAGATAAAAGGGCGCAGGCATGGCGTGAGATAAGTGAAAGTCTCGGCATTGATCGTAAGTACCATTTTTAGATTTCTGGATATAAAATGTTGATTGTTTTTAGTTTGGTAACGACAATATTGTTTTAAATATAGCTAAAGAACTAAGTAAAAAATATCATCATCTAAGAACGACGTTTCTTAGAATTAAAAAAAAGTAGATGACAGCAGACGAAGTGGATGTGGAGAACACGAGGTGTATAAACCAACGTGGGAACATTGGTCGTCCCTGAGTTTTCTTCTAAACTCATACAAGAAAACGATATCACCGCTGTCGTCATACGATGTAATTATATAAGTTATATATATTTTATATATTAAAGTAGGTAAAAATTAATTAAATATAGCCTATTTTTATTTATAGTTAAATCAAGCACAACAATCCACTTTTGGCTGCACATATAATGAGGCAGAAAAAACAAATATAGATGTACATGATGATGATGAAATGTTTAATGAAAGTATTTCATTGTCACCATGTACATTTGATGCACAGCCACCAAAGAAGAAAAGAAAGATGGAAGGAAAGGAGAAAGAAAATTTTTATGAATGTGCAATGAATGTAAGTTATTTCAAAATGTATAATTTATTTATTTATAGTTTACAGCTCAGAGTGAACAACTAAAAAACTCAAAATTATTGAGTAAGTGTTCACTTTAGTAACTGATATTATAAATATTGCACAAATACAAAGATGATTATTAAATAATATAAGATGTCTTCCTTTTCATTTAAGATTGTTTATTAAATATTTTTTCAGGCTCTCTGTAATGAACCGAGGAAGGATGCTTTTGACGAATTTGGCAGCCTTATAGCTGCCAAACTAAGAACCCTTCCCAAGGAAAATGCCTTGGACTTGCAACTTAAAATATTTTCTCTCCTTGTAGAGGAAGAAAAATATATTGTAAATAGTTCTTAAATTAATAAACATTTTTCACTTATTGTATCAAAGTTGTATTTCTTAACTCAAAATAGTATATCATTTATAATGAANTTAATAGTACTTAATTAATAAACATTTTTCACTTGTTGTATATTTCTTAAACTCAAAACAGTATATCATTTATAATGAAGAGTTGTAATTATAATAATTCCAAACTTTTTGAAATAATTTTACATTTCATATTTATTATTTAATAATTTTACATCTCATTGCCATTCTACTTGACCAAACTTTTTAAAATAATTTTACATTTCATATTTATTATTTAATAATTTTACATCTCATTGCCATTCTACTTGGCCTACAGTATTAAAATATGTTTTCAATTCATCGCGAATTGCTTTTGCTGCTGTTGTTGATGGATTTAAATTTCGACTGTTTTCCAAAGGTGTAAACTGTTGATGTTGCTCTCCAAAGTTATCACTGGTAGTAGCTGTGAGATAAGATTTTATTTTTCTTTCCCGTAACATGTTGTGAAGAACACAACATGTTAAGATGATTTTCGCAGCCTTATCTGGGGATAATAAAATCACCGTAGAGAAGACTCTCTAAACAGAAGACAGGATCCCAAATGCATTTTCAACAACTCTCCTTGCTCTTGATAATCTAACAACAATTTCAATTTGAATTAAATTAAACGGTTTTTATGACTTATACACTGATAATGATTAATATATTAATTATTTAAAACAATTTAATAGTTCTTTTACCTATAATTGAAGGTGGATTTCTCAGCTGTCAACTGTTTCATTGGATAAGGCCTCATTGGTATGTACTCGTGAAGACATACCAATTCCTTCATCAGTAACAAATACATATGGAATTGGCTGTCCTCCACTTTGAAGAGGACTATCTGGTGGAAAGTTTAACTTTCCATCATCAATAGCTTTCTTCAGATTTGATGCATTCCAAATTGAAGAATCGCTCTGTCTCCCATTAGTGCCTGCATCCACATATATAAATGAAAGATCTGCACATACTATTGCCATCATAACTACTCTATAAAATCCTTATTTGGAAAAAAATAGAACTTTAGCAAACAGAATAACTGGATACAACCTCAAATAATTGACTAATAACAGAAATACTACCTTTGTAGTTATAATAAGCAGATCCAGATTGCTTAGGACATATGATCTGTACATGTTTTCCATCTATTGCACCAAGGCAATGAGGAAATTGCCACATTTCATCAAATTCCCTAGCAATATCTTCCCATTCACATACTGTAGATGGTACCTTAGAAAAATAAACAATTTTAAATTAATGTAGCCAATATAATAATAAAGTTAAAAATCAAAATAATATGAAGTTCTTTAAGAACATTTGAAATAAATTTTTTCTGCACAATTTTCTTTTCAAATTAACATTATTGAGATATACCTTGCGTTGTATATTTGTCAACATATCTTGATAGTAACATTTGTATTAACTCAGTTTTAATACATTTAAATTTAAATGCTATATTTGATATAAATCAAATCTGAATTTATGAAAGTTACTGTTACATTTATTTTAAAAAATTTGATTACATTTAATAATATATAATTGAATATTAAAGAAATATAATGCTTATATTAAAGAAAATATATATCGATTAAAAATGAATAAAATCATTCAAGCTTTCCTCTAAACAACACTTACCCTCAAATATTCACTTTTATAAGATTGATAAATAGCATCCAAAACTTCTGGGATAATAATAGATATTGAATTATGCGCCACTCTAAATTGGTATGCTAAACTACGAAACGTTTCGCCTAAATTATATATAAACCATTTTAATCATAAGATTGCATAAAATATAAATTAAATACAAAATATATTATATTCTTACCGGTAGCTAAATAACGAAGTATCAACGAAAGACGTTCTCCGGGTGAAATAGAACTTCGAAGATGAGTATCTTCTTTAGCTATTATGGGTGTTATCCTCCTTAAAATACTTTGGAAAGTATTCGTGTCCATACGAATATATCCCCTATAACCTTCGGCATCCGAAAGTCTTAATTCGTTCATCAGCTGGTGGAAGCAAGATTGTTTGGCTCGTTGAATTTCATTTCTCCAAGTTTTAACCCAGCATGAACGTTTTTTATTATTTTTCTCTTCGTATATTCTTGCCAGCTCTAACAAAATTATCGCCTTCTTTTTTTTATTCATTCCAGAAAAGGAACTGCTTGCCATTTTAATAAGAAAAGTGGCTAAAATGTCGTTAAATACTCTGAATTAGAACGTAAAATGGAGGTAAACTCACGAAGGTAGTCAAAAACGAGCTACTGTAATTTTATTGGCTTATTATAGGGTCACGTGTTTCCGAGTTGCAGCGTCAACGAACAATGTGTGACCACGAGAAGACGCGCGCGACTCGCGCTTGTTGCAGTTGCAGTCGCCTGCGCGGCTAGAAATCGCATAGTGTGACCAGGGCTTTAGAAGTGCACAAAGCGCAACTCACGAAACTTATGACACAAAGCATGCCTCACTTTCAAACTCATTTTCAAACTCACAAATTATTTTCAAAATTTTGCATTAAAATCTCGCGACCCCAAGATTTCTCTAAGTGACCCCAAATGGGGTCGCGACCCATAGTTTAAGAAGCCCTGATCTACAGCATGCAGGTAGTCCTCGATAACACTATAGTTATGTTCCGTGTTACGCGAATTCGTACTATATGAAACAAAAGACTATTGTTAAACAAAGAATTACGTCTCATAAGTTAGCTTGTTTGTTAAGTTAAGACGACGCAACATTTAGGCGATCTGCTTAGGGGGAATGTCTTCCGGGAGATTTTTTTAACAGCAACTAGCCTTTATTCAGGTATTACAGACGTGGAGAAAAGTTGGAAAACTCCACATGGACAGCTACTTCTGGCCACGTATCCACAACCGATCTCCCAGTGTTCAGGGAATGAAACCGATTAGCCGCTGGTGGACCCGGAAAGTTAGAAAAAGTATACTATTCTTTTTCGTTACCAAGAGAAATATGTTTAGTAAAGCAAAGGATAATTTGTTTGCAATCAATAATTAACTAACAATCGCAATTAAATGTAATGTATTACGCTTTAATCTCCAAAAAACACCTGTAAACCTTACAGGTAGATCATCCTGAAATCATTCTGCAATCAGTGCCTCCTAACTTGCATTGAGATCAGTGCACATGAAGTCACAAGTCACTTGGCAGAAGTACAATCGAATTTAGGTTTTAGAATAACTACACGTTATTATCCTTGATTAGGCGGTTTAACTGACTTTTGGCTTACCATTACTCTCTTCTAGCAATGCGTTTTTCATTAATTCGTCCAAATTATTATACAGTCAAACAGGTCTATAACGGAATCTGTATATAGCGAAAACCTGTCTACTACGGAAGAGTTGTTCGCTCCCTTGAGGTTCCGTTATAGACAGACTGTATAAGCAACATTCAGATAACATTTGGAGGAGTCCAGCATCTTATTTATTTTCTCCGTAACACCACGATTCTGAAACTAGTTTTTTCATTAATTATGCTATTGAAGATACTTCAGAAATATTTAAATAATTTTTTATAATTTATTCTTAAAAAATAGAAAACATACCGCCGACAGCCGGATGGTGAGGCAGTTAAGGTAGCAGCTTATCACGCTGAGGACCCGGAATCGAATTCGTCCTGGTCATAAATTCATAAAACTCCAAGAATAAGATATGTCGGGCCCCATCCGTTACCACCGATTGTGGGCCTGGCCTAACCCATCATGGGCTTGGTGACCATAGGGAAAGAGTTAAACGGCATTACCTGAAATCCATGATTGCTCTTCAATATCTATCTTCATATTATGCGTTTGCCTTGTTATATAAGTAAATTAACCTACAAATTAAAGGAGTTAACAAGTATTCGAGGCCATCATCGTCATTTTCAACAGCACCACAGCTTGACAACTTGCGGGCGACGTGGCAAAGCTTTGTTCTAATGCGCGTGACGTGGCAAACATCATTGAACAAAACCACAGCTGTGATCAAGTTGAAATTTTCTAAACAGAAAGTTATTCTGTTCTGGAAATATGACATAACTAACGATGTAATCTCTCCATTAAACTGCGTTAGCATAAATTGACTCTAATTGCAACGTGGCGCTTAAGTAAGATTGATGTGTCTAAAGTAAGCCACATAAATTACGTAATTGTTCGAAACATCTAAGAAAACGACAGCCCAAAATCAGGTAAAATATCAAATTTAAAGGGTAATCTAAATTAATTAAATACTTTTTTCAGCATTAATGGTCGTAAAGTTTCTCGGTCGGATGCTAGAATAACGGAATAATTTTGAAATTGTTAACCAATTACTCGCAATTAATTAGAAGATTTGACAAATTTAATGAAGGGGACTCTTCAAGTTATAGATAGTTGACCAATCAGCGACCAATATCGATAATATGTTTGAGCAGTTTGACATCGTGTCACTTCAGGGTAACGAAGGACACCATCGGGTTACTTTAAAACAAAATAACCTCTTTAAACTTAAATCGTCAAGCCGAATTAAAATTAAACTTTACTGTTACAAAATAAAATTAAAAACGGAATAAAAGTGGGAAAATGTTTTTACAGATATAATTAGAAACATTCTAAACGTAGGCTATATCAGCACCCGCACTCTCACCNTTATAATTTAAATACTTTCAAATATAATACAGGTATGAAAGATTAAGATTTTATTTAAAAAATTATGTAGACATAAATTAATTAATACAGAAAAACATATATTAAATATATTACTTTTGGAAGATAGAAAGTAAGAAAACTATATGTAAATATATTCAACAGAGTTATTAATTCTAGTTGCATAAAAGTTTATGTATTTATACTTACTTAACACTCAAATTATGAATATATTTTAAGCTAATTAATATGAATAGAATAATTAGCAATACAACACTAGCAAGCATGCAATCTGGCCCTGTAGGTTTACTTGTTAAGCTTTATAGCAATACTTGTAGCTTGTTACTGATTATAAGTGACTATAAGCAATGAAATTTGCTTACTAATATTAGCTTGTAACTATTTAATCAACACATTTTCCTTGTAAATTTGTAACTTGTAACAACTGTAAGCTTTTTATGCAACATGGTCCCGGTTGTTGCTAGTGAGAAATTGGGTCATGACTTTAAAATAACTTTCGAAAACGAGATCAAATAACACCAAAAACGACCTTTGATTAACAATAAATAGGATTAAATGAGGTTGTATACATAACAGGGGGCGTAGCTCAGATGGTAGAGCGCTCGCTTAGCATGCGAGAGGTACCGGGATCGATACCCGGCGCCTCCATATTTTTTCACCTTTTGTACGTCGCAAAATATACCCGTCCTGTATTACTTCATACGAATTTAATCCATATATTATGCAAAAATGGGCTCTGTGCCATCCGGAGGAGGTTTTAATAGCTTGTTTAGCTGTGTTAATTTCGCGGAACCCTCGAATTTACAATACAAATTGAAGAGTGATTACTAACTTATCCAATGATTGATATAAAAGTATGATACTTTGTTTAATATTAATGATGCATACATGCAAGTGATGCTCTAGGCAATAAGCGTGTTACTTTAAAATGAATTTTATTAATTAATTTTTTACATAACCCATCTTTCTTTTTAAATTAAATCTTAAAATTGAACGTTATTTTTTTATTTTAGTAAAAAAAAAATATATATATATTATTGCATTGCCATGTTGCATCAAATCATATAAGTCAAGTAGGGAGTGACTCCGGAGGTGACTTTCTATCCCTATTTACGAAAAATTCTGAGTGAATAACACTACCAAAAATTTGTCGTGAGTTTAAGCAGCAACGAGATTGAAAGTTAAAGCACGATTGATTGAACACACTAATTTATAAATTCAATAAAATCTTTTAGAGTTTTAGGAAAAAATTATAATTTTATAATTTAATTTATAATTTAAAATTTAATTAATTTAAGTAAATTCAGTATATAGGGCCTATAGAAAAACATAAAAGCAGTGTCTAGGATCCAACTTTTCTTTATTTACAAGCCCTACATTCTATCTTCTATTATTTTTGGGGCCCTATGTTTTCTATTATTATTTATTTCTATTTATTTATTACTTTTCTATTAAAATAATAATAATAAGTCCTTGTAAATAATAGAAATTATTAGTCACACGATTTAATTACTTTAAGTGAAATCAGTATGTAGGGCCTACCTTTTTCTGATTCTACTTTTAAACACTTGATTAACTCTTTCTTACACCAATGAATAAATGAATAAAAAAATTTATTAAATATATTTACATTTATTATGTAAATTATGATGTAAAAAGACATTTATATAATAGATCATTTTTTATTGTTTTTTTGAGGATTAAAATTAAACAGAATAAAAATAATTTTATAAGCAAAGAGAAAGACTTTTATGCTAAACTGGTCTTATTTAGGAGTTAAACACGTGAAGAAAACACGGAAAACTACACGTGGATAGTCCGTTTGTGAGGTTCGAACCCGTTATCATTTAGTAGTATGTAGAGAGCGCGACGCCAAACCGGACACACAACAATGTCAGAAATTAGGTCAAATTTTAAAAATAACTTTCACTTTCGTACAAAGAAAGTGAAGTTTAAAATGTATTTATTTAACAAGGGGGCGTAGCTCAGATGGTAGAGCGCTCGCTTAGCATGCGAGAGGTACCGGGATCGATACCCGGCGCCTCCAAATTTTTAAAAATTTTACTGAACAAAATATGATCCTTGGCCTGCTTGGAGTGTAACTAGAGCAATTCAAATTGATGTCATTATCATTTTGTAACGTCGAAAATATATTTTATCACTTTTACTTCCTACAAATACTCGTTGTTGTTATCTATAATCGAAAGGACACTTTCCTTATCAACAATTACGTTTAAAGGACAATTACTCGTAATTGCGGATGGTAAACTTATATTCGAAACGGGAATTTTTCTAGTACAAGCATTAATATCAATAAAAACTGAATATGTGTTAGCTCAATCTAGAATAAATGTGATCCAATTTGTAAAGTATGGCGTGCTTTATAACAGTTTATCTATCTCAGGATATAAATATCCTATTCTAGTATAAAAAAAAATCTATTTTTTTTTTAAATTCAGTTTGTGCTCTTAGGGGATCCAACTAATCCTCAAGGATGTTTAGAAACAATGTCATCAGTAGGATCTTGTGTGCCACGAAATTCTCGTCTTTAGGAAGATCAATCTAAACTGTGGTTTATACAGAACTGTGGCCCTAAACTATGAAATACAGGAGGGTCGCCATCAAATAATAATGTGTAATTTAAATTAATTCATTTTTGAAGATGGAAGGAAGCTCTATACAGTATAAGGATCAATAGACTTTTGGCAGAGTCAGTCTTTGTCATGAACCTCTCATTCTTCTCGTTAGGAAGAAAACTTGTTTAAAAAATTCTCTCCAAATTTTTTAAATTGGTTTTTGCATATTGAGAGGCTGAAGACGAAGGCCGATTGCTCCAAAAGACTTTATGTTCCTGAGGTATGTTTAGGAGAATGAGAAGATACGTGGTTTTGAGGTGCTTATACATCTTAGCAATACGCGTTTCTTCTATTTTTGTGAGTTTTAATTGTATTTATCATCGTGGACATCCTAGATTATCCTTTATTATCCTGTAAGATGCGTGAATGACGGTGGGGTTTGTGGGTTGGAACTATTCTACTGTATACTACGGAATTCTTAACTTGAGATCATAATGTTTGGAAAGGATTTGATTGAATTAATGGAATAAGACAATGTCACACATGGGAGATCTGTCAAGGAGAAGTACTTTCTATGGGAAACTTGTCCCTATTTTGATGTTAGACACGTGAAGATTAGTCCGTTGGTGAGGTGCAAACTCGTGACTAAGTACTACTGTTCAGTAGTTTTATACACTTGGCTCCTGAACACTAGTAGTTAGTCGGAAGGAAAGAGTGGGGAAATATTAAAATTAAACAATCTGAAAGTACTTTTTTCCACTCTTTTCAACTATGTGGGTACTAAGAAGGGTACTGTCGGCCATGCCCACAATTGAGACGGTTGGGAGAAGGAAATATTCATGCTAGGTGCTGAAAAATTATACCCAAACTTGATTCTATTCAAGATCTACGATATATTTCTCATAAGACAAACCATTTTTCCTTCAAACACGATAAAATATTATAATATGCATGTTAGAAATTAATTATTTACCATATTCTAACTGTATTTTATAAGAAATTCTTTCAGATAAACATGTAACAGCTCGGTTGTCAATATATAATGTAGATGAATATCGAATTTCCAGCAGAACTGATGTTTAAAAGAGTTATATTATACACTTACACACGTCAATACATGCGAAATGTATGTACATATACGATAATTATATAAAGAAAGGATGCCATTTCCTTTATTCTTTTATTGATTTTTAATATATAAAAAATGTTATCTATAATCTAAATAGGGACAGAAGTCAATAGAATAGTTTGCATCAATAATTCTTTTATATCAATATATCTACAAGCGACATTTATAAATGCAATCACCATATTTTTCAGAATTTCGGGTATTAAAATTATGTTTAAAACATAATTAAAATATTCTTAATTAAACAGAAAATTAATTATCATTAACTATAACTTTATGAATTCGTTGGAGGATTTATTAAACCGTTTTTAAGGTCATAATGGCGATTGTTCTGTTACATCTACCTCATAAGCTACGTCATAAGTCACATGACCGTATGCTACAAAAACGTGAGGTCTACATGGACTCATCGCAGAAAAAAAAGGGAAAAGGTAAGCCAAAAAATGTATTTTATTTACGTTTTCAATTGGTTTAATGTTATTTTTTATTCGTGCTCTTTCACACTAATTTAAACACTACTATTATAATTAACACCATTATCATTGTAGCTTAAGTTAATGCATTAAAGATAGAAATTTTAATATATTTATGCTTATTCTATAATTAGCTTCGTGTTATACCGATACGTGTTTTTTTATGGGTTTTTTTCTCCGCACTGCGGGCATTAAGAGGGTCTTTTTTCGGGCCCGTCGTGAGTTTGGCCAGGCTCACAAAAAAAAAGAAATGGTGAGAAAGGCCTCCTTCAAGAATTTCCTGTGTTAATGCTCGCGCGTATTCGAACCCGGCTCTCTCAGTGCGGTAATCTGACACTAACCTCTATATTATACATAATTATGAATTAGTTTAACTAAGTTAATTATTATTATTATCATTATTTGATTCGTTAATAATTATTAAATGTTGAATTTTTATTTAATTCAGAAATATGATAGAATTTTTGCTATGTATTCTATGCTTATCATCTGTTCTGAAGACAAGTCTTAGTCTAGGTAAAATATTATTATAATTTTTTAAATATAAATTTATATATTTCATACTTGTTTTTATACTCAATTTCAAAGTTATTTATATTATCGATATGTTCATAAATGTTTTAAAATAAATTTATGTCAAAAAATATACTTTTTAACGGAAAAAATTTCAAAAAATTGAATGTGTTTTCGTGGTTAGCACCGATTTTAAACTCAGAGAAACGAGTTTTGATATATTTTATATTATTCTAAATTCTATTTTTAAGCTTCCTATGGAATATTCTGTGTCCCAAATAACATCTACATATATAAAAGAGTATGTATGTATATTAGGTAAAGGTTTCTATACAGTTCAACGCATGAATATTCTTCGACACTAGAAAAAATATTATGAGAGTTTCCTCAACTATCCTTAAAGCCCACTCCTTTAAACTTATTATGTATATTTGTTAGATAAAGGATTCCATACCGTTTAATGTATGTACCGTTCAAATTATTCGATTCCCTAAAAAAATACCGTATGGTTTCTCCAACCATCCTTAATGCTCATCCCCTCTTAAACCTGAGCACTGTGTTTTGTAGTTTCATTATTGTAAATACTCAGGTAAATAAATGTAGCCTTTAGTTACTAATACCACTGTTTCGATCATCATCTCCCAATCCAACCTAATCAATAGCCCACCCTCAAAATCCCTAGCCACGTCAGCAGCTTGTAGATCTATAAAAGAACCCATTGAAGATGAAATTGAACACAATAACTTGCGTGGTACTTCTAAGAAATTCAAAAAAAGTACTCAAATTCAAACATAAAAAGTACTTAGAACGATATTACATTTTTCTTCCTTATAAATTGGCCCAATAAAATAATATTAACACGATATAATATTGTTGGGCAAAAGGCATAAATCCGGTTATTTCTATAATAAAAATTTATCTGAAAGACATTTCAGTAGAATTTTATTTTTATAATGCATTTAGTTCGCACTTCCTGCTTTATAAATTATAGTAAAATTTTAATGGCGTGACCATTTTCAGATACTTGTGAAGTATCATCGGATGTGTCTGGAATGTGTAGAAGGAGATCGGATTGTTCGACTCTACGAAGAGGTTCTACTGTTAAATCCTGTCCTGAAAGACGTGATTTGATTTGCTGTCCTTTATGGAGGAAAACAAGTTGGCCAGTCCAAACCACTAAAAGATCAAGGGCGCAATCAAAGACAACTGCTATACCTAGTACTGAAAATGGTAAATATATATTAATTTAAATTAAATTTTATGCTATTCATTAAACACATCTTCCTCTATTTGTTATGGGAAGAATAATCGAAGAATAATAGCCTCACCAACGGGCTAGTTACGTGGAGTTTCATGGGATTTCTTCGCCTTAATAGGGACTAGTTTTTAAACTCTTCTCGGGGCAGAAGCGAACCTATATATATATATATAGAGGCAAAAGAGCCTAGGCCTCAATCTTTCGAGGGCCTCTCGAATTTGGTAGTATAGTTTATTACCTAAATCATCAAGTTGGTAATTATTGAAAATATAATTGTAGTCTGTTGCATCTGCAGGAGACTACAATTATACTGAAGTCAACAAGTGCCAAGAGAGACTTTCTTCAGTTTCGATCTGCTCATTGAAATATTGCTGCACAAATGGACGTTTTTCTGTAACTGATTAATTCAGCTGGGCAGGAGAGCAGCTTTGTAGGCGAATTTCTGTACGCCTATTGAATTTTACAATTCATTATAAACCTATTTTATTCATCGTGTGTTTTACGGTCTGTTTTTATAATAAAATTTTCGTATTATTGTACGCCTAAATAAATGTTTCCTCTACATCCATCGCTCTTTTAATGCCTATAATCTCACAAATCCTGTACTTGGGAGGCATACCACTTTGGCAAATCGCCCATGTATTTGGTTGCCCATGTGTTGGGATTGTGTGTGGGTGTTGTCAACTCAACACACACACATACAAAACATCCATACATACAGAAAAAATTCTAACGTTTTTGTATTTGTCGACGATTCAAGGTCCTTTGAATTCAGATGAGATTTAGCAATTTAATTCGTTTCTTTTAAAGTTTGTGGTCAAAGATCAGTAACGAGAAGAAGAACTAATCGTGGAGTAGACTTGGAGGAAGAAGAAGAATCTTTTAATTTAACAACTGATGCGATCGTAAATGGACGAACAGCCGTAAAGGGATCTTGGCCTTGGATGGTGAGTTTTACAAATTGCATTTACTTAAATCTTTATTAAATAATTATATTATGTTGTTGACAGGCTGCTCTTCTAAGTATAAGAACAACATCATTTGGACGAAGTGCGTCGTTCTTCTGTGGTGGAAGTATCATCACATCTAGAGTTGTTCTTACAGCAGCTCACTGTTTATACCCTTACATGCGTAACCGGAGACAAATGTAAGTAATATATAATACTTTATACAACATTTTCTTACTGTATTAATCATGAATCCATCATTTCAAAAAACTTACAGAAGTAATAACATGAAGAAAATGAAAGTTCGAGTTGGGGCGCACACGAAATCTGATGGAATATCTCACGACATATCTCAAATGAATTATCATAAAAGCTATGGGCGAAATTATGCAAATGATATCGGATACGTTAAACTTTCAAAAGATATTATTTTCAATGCGCACGTTCGTCCTATTTGTCTACCGACATCGACAGAATTTTATTCCGACACATTTTACATCACAGGCTGGGGCACTACACGTTCTGGTTTGTAAAATAACAGAAATTTCTTCCAATATTTAAACGTTATTCTGAGATAAATATTTAATTTGTTTTCAGGTGGTTCTGCCAGCAGCACATTAAGAGAAGCTAAAGTGAAAATGGTACCCCTGAGCACGTGCAAATCAAGTTATTCACGTATAAATTTGAAAATTACCGATAAACAAGTATGTGCTGGTCGTGGTGAAGCGGATACATGTCAGGTAATAGAATAAAAATAAATAAATAAAAAGTAAATAACGTTAAAAATTTATACAAGAAAATAGTAAGTAATTGAACAACATTGATATACAAAATCCTCCTTAATAAGAGTAAAAATAGATTAAATTAGAAATAAACAGAAAAAAATGTAATACTTTGTTTTTCCTTAATCATATGGAAATCCCTTTTGTCTAATAAAAATAATTTATTATTATTATTAAGTTATAAAAGATCGACACGAGATGGAAACTTTATTAAATAAAACAAATCGAGATGATCCCTTTGCACTCGTTAAAATTTAAAAAAAAAAAAAGAAATCACAAATCTAAATTTAGAATTAAAAAAATTAAATTAAATAAACGGTTTTGGCTTAAAATTTATCAAAAATATAAAAAAATATTTTACATTTCTCTTACTTTTTTCCTCTGTATAAACAAGTTTGTCTCATGTATTAGCTTCTTTTACAAAAAGATAAACTATGCTTTAGGAATGTTATATTAATAGTGTGGCTGGATAAATGATGTTACTTCTCCAGTATACAATTATCCTCGGGATATTTTGGCCGGTTTTTTTAAAATACATGCATACAATACAACTTAAGAAAATTAAAAGAAAAAAAAAGCGTTCCAANTTAGATAAATAAAAATTATAAATTTAATTAAATCCTGTTAATAGGGAGATTCAGGAGGACCTATGGTAATGTACAGCGAGATTAAGAAGCGCTGGATTTTAGTTGGAATTACATCCTTTGGAAATGGTTGTGGAAATCGCAGATATCCTGGTGTATATACATCAGTTAAAGCTTATAGAAGTTGGATAGATACTGTTTCGTAAAGCCCGTTACAGGAACAAATTCTAACACAAATATAACTCTAAAAATAAGGTAAACAAGCAACAGTCTCATGTTCCTTCCATCTTCAAAAAATGTTATTATTTGATGGAGGCCTTCTTGTATTTCATAGCTTAGGGCCACAGTTTTGTATAAACCACGGCTTAGATTGATCTTCCAAGATCCACAATACATTTCTATGTAGTATCTAAAGACGAGAATTACGTGGCACAGAAGATCCAACTTATGTTTTAAACTTTGTTTAAGAAATTGATCCGAGCTTGCAGCTAAATTTCTGATGCACAATGGTATTGTTGATTAAATTGTATTATTAACGTTAAAGTGTATTGAATATTGTTTATATTAAACAAGTTTGCATACATGCTCAGTCACACAAGTGGAACAATAAATTGAAATTTAAAAATTGTATTATAACAAAGGAAGTTCTAAGTTATTCATGAGTGAGTCAGACGTATTAAATTGATTTCACAATTATGTTCAAATTTCATTTCTAGTGCAAACCATTGAAAACATTATCTGATGAAACATGCGAGGTCAACAACTAGAATGAATAGGCTTGTTAACCTTTGTATAATAAATTTTCCAGTTTCCTTTGCGTGCCGATCGTTTCTATTAATTTAATTTTAATGGTTATTCTCTCTTCTTTTTATGTAAATTATGGGATTTAATGTGTATTAGTTTGCTAATAAATAAATGTTTATAAAGATAATATAATGAGTTTATTTCAATATAATTATTTCTAATGAAAAGTCACTAAAATTTTTTTCCAAGAATTTTGACGGCCAATCGGTCGCTCTGGGGGACTTGGTATCAAATCCAGGTGAATAAACCCTGGAATTTTTGGGCAATGGCAATCTGTCCTGGATAAGTCATGCCCCACTCTTCACCACTCGGCTGCCATATCGTGAGCCAGGCCGGATCCACGATAGGGGATAGTCATCCGGATTGCCAAGGCGTTTAAAGCGTCAGTCTCCATTCTGGAAGATCAGAATCAAATCTAGAAATGTTTGAGCAATGAGCAATTGGATAAGTCGTGCCCCACTCTACACCACCCAGCCATTTTCATTGTGAGCCTGGCCAGACTCACAATGGGCTTGTTGACAAATGGCCCAGCATTTAAGGCCTATCACGCTGTGAACCTGGGATCAAATCCAAGAAGGCAAATCAAAGAATTTATGGGCAATGAAAAATTTTTCCTGAAGTAGTCACCGTCCACGATAATAATCCATAAACTGAGAATCTTTTTCCAGGCTCATCGTGGGATTGCCGGGAATAAGATCCTTTTAGTTCATGCAAGCAGTTAAAAAAAAAAAAGAAAAATACAGTGGTTAACAAGGAAGTTATGATTTTTATTGTGAATTTACAAATTTATGCTGTATATATTCGCGGTTTTTGACTTTTGTACAGAAGAAACATTAAAACAAGTCTTTAACTGAATAGCTGAACCGTGCATACTTGCATTAACTCATATGACCTTTCCTTTGTATGGCATAATAAGTGGAGTCACATGACTCTGAAGCATAATCAATAATTTTAACCTCTATTATTATCTTCTTTAAAAAGTTGACTTTTAAATTTGAATTTTTTATCTGAAACTATTATAAAATTGAAACTAATTCAAGCTTTTACGGCTATGTAACTGAATGCATGAATATTTTTCGAGTGCCCTTGACTGAAATTTAAGGCTTTATTTTAACTATAAATCAATTGATATAAATTATAATTATTTAATTTATTCGTTAATTTATAATTTGACATTAATTGTTTATTGTAAAATTACGAGTAACTAAGGTTTATATATGATTACTTTAAGTATGTGTTCTATAATAATAGATATAAACTCTGTAGTTAATCCCTTGATAAAGCGCTTCTATTATAAATAACGTCACCCGTATAAAGCGTTAATGTATATTCGTAAACTGTTCTTTGCATAAAAATTAAAAATAGGATATATCTGTAAATTACTAAACGTTGTTTTATATTGCAAATCTTATGATTAAATCATATGACCCAAACAATCATGCCTATTATGTAAAACTCATTAAGCCGAGGCAGTTATGATATTGTTCTGGAGAACCCTGAGTTGAACATTCCATGAGAGGTCCGTTTCTCACCGCTTATTACTCCATTATGGGCTTGACTGGACCCACAAAGATTATGGTAAAAAAAGGCCCTCTTAGTGCCTTAGTAATCTCATTATTATATATAATTCTTATTGTTTAAGATACGTTTAGCGCCAATTTCATAAGCGAATAAATAGTGGCGCTAAATCGAAGTTTGCTTTATGTAACTACTAGATACAGATTAATAAAACTATATAATACTGATTTTGATTAATATTAAGTATAAATAAGTAACATTAAATCGGAAGAAATTCTTTGTATGCATAGCTAAGGGTGGTACCTCTTGTTTGTGTAGTACCTGCCCATTAAGCTGCTATTCTGTGGGCGTTGCGAAATGAATTAATGCGATTCTTGTATTATAAAGTAAAATACAAGATAGGTGTAATTTATACAATAGTAGACCTTAGACAAACGTTATATTTTTTTTAACTTTAGCAGCCATTCTAAACATTTTCACTGAAGTATGGACACGTAATTAAAAATAATTTATACACTTTTCAGCAACAAACGAACGGAAATATTTAAAATATTTATGACTAAGTTTTCTTGGAAACGTTTTACAGGTGAAATTATTTGGTTCCCTTCCAGATAATATGTTAAAATAATTAGCCAGATCATTTTGAATGGTAAGAGAGAATTATCACGAAGGTAGCTGCAGGAATCCCGTTTGTATTTTATGAGTTATTGCCCTATGGTTATTATATTAACGAAATATTTCATGCGTAAAGTTTCGGAAAATGAACTTGAACCCTGACTCATGTGGTTCCAGAATTAACTGGAATATTTAAGACCGGACAATCAGCTGAGAAAAGATACAGTTTAGTAGATATGAATACAGTACAGTTAGGTCTGTTGATAGTCACGCTGCTTACAGGTAAGACATGATTTAAAATTTGGTATAAGATTAAATAATTTTAATTAATTTATACTATAAACACTAGAAAATTCATCATCTTTTAAGGTGCAGAAAGCGAAGTTTGGCCTAATTTTATTAAACAATTAAATAAATATAACAATTTCGTATCAAGTAAGTGACTTTTAATTAATATTTTCTTTTATATAAATTTGAATTATATTAATATATTAATTTAAAAATAATATTTAGACTGTGGCATTGTAAGAACTGATAGCAGAGGTAACACTGTTTGGCCTTGGATTGTAAGTTTTTATTTATATTTTATTTATTAATACTGTATTTATTGTAATAGACAGTCACAGGTATCAACTGTGAGGGGCCAGAATACGTTCGGTCCCAGATAATATTTTAAGTTTTGAATGTCCCAACAAAGTGTAAAGGTTAAAAATTATTATCTTTCAACTTTGGCACGCCCAGCAATACTTAAAATATTGGGGCGATCTGTAATTTTTTAAGCTTGCACTGCACTGTTTATTATAATATATATATATAAAACAAATACAGATAAATTAATATAAAAAATACTAGTGAAATTAAATGTGTGTGTGTNCTTCTGAGCTACGCCCCCTTGATACAAACAATTCTAATTTAACCTACTTTATACTGATAAACTTGTAATTTTATTACGAATAATTTATATTAATTTAATGGCAACTTACTTTAAACGGGTTCTGTAGGCATGCTAATTTTATTTTACATGTTGAAAACTTATAAAGCTGGTCGTGGGTTCGACCCTCAACAACAGGCTTGCCGTGAGGATTTTCCGTGGTTTTTCACGTATCCAATACATAAGTATGGCCCAGTTTTTCATAAAAGTCTTCCAGAGAGACATCTCACTTGGCACATTGTCCATATGTCTTATCCTTAATTTTTATTGGAGGCAATTTCTAATGTGTTTACGAAGATCCTCAGGTTAAAACGGAAATTTAAAGATACAGAATTTTAAAACAAACTTTTATATTAAATGTTTTTAGGCACAAATCTTCAAGAAAACTAATGTCGAGAGAAAATATCTTTGCGCAGGAACACTCATTACTTCCAGGCATATCATAACATCAGCTGTTTGTTTGACCATCTTTAAAGGCATTTTTAGAAAGTAAGTAAATAATTTAATATTGTATACAGGTGCTACAAGTGTTTTAATCCTACATTGTCATTGTTTAATATTGTCGATAATTTCGCTTTAGTGACTTAAACGAACTTGAAGTAATCGTGGGTTCTTCAGTTATTAATAAAGGGAGAATTCTTAAAGTAGAAAACTATTGGATACATCCGAAATTTCGTCTTTTCAACATTTATAACGACGTAGCCGTATTGAAACTCTCTCAGCATATTTTCGATCCTATGCCAATATGTTTGCCATACGTATCTCGAGATTTAGAATATCGTGACTTATTTAGCATTGGTTGGGGTACTGACGAATACGGTAAGATATTTATACGTTGATTTAATAGGAACCAAGGTTAATCTACAAATACATTACTTTTTATAGGAGAAGCTATTACTCGTCGATTAACGGTGAACAGGAAAATTGTTATCCCAAATTCAGAATGTGCTCCTGAAAAAAAGTTATTGTATTATAATCGAGGAATCCAGGATAGTTTAATATGTACTGTGACAGAAAATAACATGCGAACAGTAAGTAATCAATTTTTATTAGTACTATTTTGACTATGTACTAAAATGCCTTAGTATGTACAGTACCTTTAGTGCAGCGCACTTTCTTATTACATTGCGAATTAGGACTCTCCAGATGAAAGCTTGCCTCAATTCTTACTCCATCTCACCCAAGACAATGTTTTTCATCCTTTTTGAAATAATGGTTTACCCAACTTGGTAATATTTTCTTGAGTTCCCCCTACTCCTTTTGCAGCACCCCTATAGTATTGTTATGTTACCCTAGTATCCGTGTGTCCCCCTTGAAACCACTGGGTTATAATGTCAGACTACCGCTTTGAAGACCCGGTAACTAATTCGATCTGACCCCCAAGGAATTTTTTGGATGGTATCCTGGATGTGGTCCGTCCTGATTATATCCGTCCTTACCACCCACCTTATCGTCTTACCCGTTGTAAGTTAAGCCGAATCCCCGATGGGCTTAATTAAAAGGCTGTCTTAGAGTGCTCCTCACAGAGGAAAAAATAAATAAATAATACTTCAGAAATTTCAATTATATAAAACTTCAACATTTTGATATTTTATTAAATTATTATTATTATTATTATTACTTTTAGAGTGACGATGGAACACCGGAAATGTTATTCGAAAATTATAGTAATATATAATTTATTATATAATATATGGCAATAGGTTTATATGTAATAATACTGTGTATAGTAAGAGGAAATATAATAATATTTCCTCGTGTATTCTTACTTAATTCCATTCACCCCTATTGGTAGTATTTTATAGTAAGTTTTCCTTACTTCTACATGTGTTTTACGTGAGAAACAACACTTTCGTAACTCCGATTTGAAGTTTCAGTCACTCGAAAACGTAATTAATTTCACTTGTATGGGATCACGGATGGAGAGGGCCCCTTTTGTTAATGTGTTTTGAACATAAAATTCATAAAATATTTTTTATTAATATAAAGCGGTCATATAGATTTTATTTTCTATTAATGAAAGTAGTACTAACTTTATGGAGGGTCTGCAAATTTTCACGGGAGCCAGGAGGACTTTTATGGGAACTGCTCCCATTTAGACACGTAAAAAAATCCCCGAAAATTTCACTCGACCAGTCATTCTCCTGTACTTATTTGACTGGTTAAAGCTGTTGAACGTTATCGGTAGAAATTAGTAAAAAAAAAAAAAGTTATTTTTTGTTTGCAAGCAGTTAAAAAAAAAAAAAAATACAGTGGTTAACAAGGAAGTTATGATTTTTATTGTGAATTTACAAATTTATGCTGTATATATTCGCGGTTTTTGACTTTTGTACAGAAGAAACATTAAAACAAGTCTTTAACTGAATAGCTGAACCGTGCATACTTGCATTAACTCATATGACCTTTCCTTTGTATGGCATAATAAGTGGAGTCACATGACTCTGAAGCATAATCAATAATTTTAACCTCTATTATTATCTTCTTTAAAAAGTTGACTTTTAAATTTGAATTTTTTATCTGAAACTATTATAAAATTGAAACTAATTCAAGCTTTTACGGCTATGTAACTGAATGCATGAATATTTTTCGAGTGCCCTTGACTGAAATTTAAGGCTTTATTTTAACTATAAATCAATTGATATAAATTATAATTATTTAATTTATTCGTTAATTTATAATTTGACATTAATTGTTTATTGTAAAATTACGAGTNTAATTTTACAATTTTCTTATGTAAATATGTAACAATTTTATACCAGAAAAGTAAAGAAAATGTTAAAGTATGTCCGTGAATTATTTTCTTATATCAAATTAGCATTTTCACACATTTTCAACCCGCAAAGAAAAATTTCAAAGGATCATGAATGGCACTTTTCTGTAACGTCGAAATCACTTGTGAAAATTAATATCTATTTATTTCCTGTTTAATACATGATTTTATGCATTATTTTACGCGTTTTGCTGGCTCTCCACTTAGCACGATTACCTGATGATCTAAACCAGTGTTTTTCAACCTGTGAGTCGCGACCCCCAGGGGGGTCTCAAAGCCTTACACGGGGGGGTCGCGGGTGAAAGAAAAAGACAAGTGTTTGTAGGTCCTACACTACAATAAAAATTAGAATTTCAGTGAGAAGGCTGTGTCTGTTTATTTTACAGTACAATTGGTTTTTCGATAGATATTTAAAGAAAGAAAATTAAATACGTAGTTTTTAAAATCACTGATACAGTTTTAATATGGCCCTGGGGGGGTCGCCAGAATTTTTTAACTTGTAAAGGGCTCGCGTATTCAAGAAGGTTGAAAAACACTGATCTAAACGACATAATCGTTGTCCTATGTGCCTATACACTTTTTTAGAAATGGAAGGCGATTTCCAATGAATTATGTGAATTTTTTTTCTTTAAATGGCGTCAAAAACTTTCAATTAAAATTTTAAAATCTAATATTTGCTATTTTTTGTACCTTTTCGAAGTATTGTACTGTATCTCTATTGTATTGTGATAAAGCATAGATTACAAGTTTGCCATCCCTGTCCTAGATAGTAAGACAGTTTTTTCCTTAAAAGTATACAGTAGTAATAATTCATCTTTTTAACCTCTTTAGAACTCTTTCAGTTACTCCCATTAGTGGAAAATTTGTATAGGGGAGACCGGGGAAAGATCGGCATGTTAAGCTTTACTTAAATTTTGTGTAATAAATACTGCTGTAAACTGAAAAAAAAGTTTTGCATTTTGTCTATTGGAATGTTTTCTTACTATAGAACTGGTTAAAATCAGTTCGGAAATAAAAATAATTAAAATAATTACAACTTTACAAGAAGAGAGAAATTGACGAAGTTGCCCCGGGTATAGGGGCAAGATCGGCAACTTCTCTCTTTTTGTAAAGTTGTAATTATTTTAATTATTTTTATTAAAGTTGCCCCTGGTATAGGGGCAACAGTAATGGGGCAAGATAGGCACGTATATAAAATTATGTTATTAACAATGTATAAGTTGGAATTCACTATTAAAACAAAGAAATACAAATCCAACACCCATTTAATATTATTACAACGAAATGCAAGTTCAAAGACATATATACATGAATAACAAATGCAAACATGTTTTCATTTATCATCTGTTTGATTTTTATCCTTTGCTTCTAATGTGGCTTTATGTTGCCGATCTTACCCCGCTAGTCATGATTTCGAAACATTAAGTACAACCCTGAGAACAGAATGCCAAGCCACGATCTGGCCACGTGAATAAGTTGAAGTTACATCCTTCTAACAGGAAAAGTAACTTTCGTTATCATGGAATTATAACAAAACCTGCCAATTCAATATAATTGGAAGCAAAATATTATATGGAATTGAACGAAAACGAAAATTTGTTTGATAATTCAACTACGCTTGTTGGAGAACAATAAAAACACTACACTGAACAAGCCACTAATAAAACTCAACTGCCTAACCTATAAGCAAAGTCTCCTTTTAATTTGTTTTTAAAAAAGCGCTTGACAAACTTGCCCCGTATGCCGAAGTTGCCCCGATCTCCCCTATATGCAAAGAGTGTTTCGGATTGATCTTACTAATAGCACCAATGGTTCTCATACCATGCTATTATACGAGAGAAAATTTAATTTCTGTTATGCTCCGTTTTTAGAAAAGCAAATATAAATTTCACTGAATATTGCACAAAATAAAATTACATTTAATATAAACTCTATGATATATCTGAAATATATTTTATTTTGAAGATATATATAAAACATGCCACAATTGTATTCAAGTATAAATTTAAGATAATAATATGTTTTAACAGTTAAAATACAGTAAAACCTCGCTAAGTCGAAATGCGTTAACTCAAAGTTTTTTTAGAGGTTCCAGGCATGGATTTTACCCATATAATATGATCTTGTTAAGTCGAAATTGTTAGTACTTTTGTCTTTCTGTTATATTTACGTGTGAATACAGACGATAAACAAACACTATGTTCCATATTGAATACAACACCGCACCTCGGGTATTTTTCATCATTACATTACAAGGATTAAATACATACATACATGTGAAAGAAAAGGCTGTACTCAAAGGTGTAGCCTTAAAAGATAAGAAAAATGGATGAAGAAAGGAAGAAGAGTAATTTGAGGAAAAGTTAGGAGGATGGGGTTGGAAGTTTGAAAGTAGAAAAAGGAGGACATGAGCCGCAAAGGGGAGCTGTTGGATAGCACTTGGAAATACAATGGTAGACACTTGCAAAACAATTTATATATACTGGGAAGGGAAGGAGAAGGCTCATAGCGTAATACCATGAGGAGTTGGACAGATGAGGCCGACTTGAAAAAAAAAAAAAAAAAAGAAGCGGTAAGGAGTCCCTTTTCGGGAGGGGTTCTTGTTGACACAGAAGATGAGCTGTCCATTAGATGCCACTTGGGCTGGTAGCAGTATAGTGCGTAAGTTTCAGGTGTTCCACGAAGGTCTTGAATACTTGATAGATTATCTGGTCCTCAATAAGGGTGTATAGTTCGCACGGCCAAGGATACAATACCACGTTCCACAATAGTCCTATGAAGGTTTGCACGGTGGCGTGAGTGAACCGGGCAGATGAAGATTAGGTGTATTGAATCTTCGTTCTCGTTAGTATCACAGGGGAACAAACCGTTCCCCTTCCTCAAAAACCTGAAGAAGGATCAAATACAGTACATACAACACTAAGTGGAAGGATCGAGTACATACACCATTACAATACAAACTTACTATAGGTTATCAATAAAAGGATGTCGATCCTTGTATTGTTCCCGGCGCGGCATTCTGATTGAGACAGGATCATCTCTACGTCTTAAAAAATGACATAAACTGTATAGAGTTTTGTAATCATTCTGTGAAGAGATTCTTGAGAAACTCCTTGATAACGAGAAATTTCATAAAAAATTCGAGGAAATAGCATATTAAGCTCGTTAACTCGAAGTCGGGATTTGTCACCTCTTAACGAGATTTTACTACATTATGTACTAATCTGAATATCGTATATAATATTTCTGTTTTACAGAAATTAAAAAAAATATTAATAATAATTCATGGAATTTTCTTAATTTATACTCTGACGGATATTCTCCATCAAAAAATTCATTAAAAATCAATTAATTTTTTCGAGAGTAGCGATAATCACGGTAAATAGTAGAATTTATCCATGATAAATAACAGCAACAAGCTGTATATACTCCCGGATAGTTTTCAAGTGCACAACTTAATCCAAATGATACAATTCCCATATGATACCATCTACTATTTTCATAAATAAACAATGGGCCACCAGAATCACCCTGGAAAAAATATAATAAAATAAATTATACATTGAACGATCTTATCTATGAAAGATATGCTTGAACACTTCATTTACCTGACAAGAATCTCTGTGATTTCCTCCAGCGCAAATATGACACGAATGAATGTTCGATCCCATTATTTTATAGTTCTTTGCACACTTCTCTCGGTTTTTAATTGTTACTGTAGTTTGCTTTAAGTGTTTTGATGGTGTCCCACCTGTTTTATTTTAAGTATTTTAAATTATGGGCTTAAATATTACTTAAAATGTTACGACGTACCTGCAGTGGTTACACCCCAACCCGCTACCATTGCTGGGTAATTTTCGTAACGTTTCTCGCACATTTTTTTTGTAGGAAGACAAGCTGGTTGAACGTGTGCGTTGAATGTAAATGGAGATGTGACTTTAAGAAGACATATGTCGTAATCTGTTGACCATTTACTAAAATAATGGTACGCTCTCGTTACTGAATGGGTTGTTCCTTTGTTTATATAAGCATTTCCAACTTTAATTTTTATTTTTCTTGCATTCTGAACGCTATAAAATTTTAAAAGAATCTTTGAAAATGTTAAATACAAAGATGGAAAAGGTTCTTGCACTACTTTTCTAGTACTCAAACAGGAGTTTAATGGGGCCAAGAAGTAAGTCCGATACTTTCAATTATATAACAATATTAAATTTAAATAATAATAAAGGCTTAAAACCTAGTAATTTTCTTAAATTATGGTAAATTATTATAAAAAAATTCAGTATTCAATTTTAAAAAGTTGTGTAGCGCCATCCGTTACGAGATTTCATTTAAAAAATAACTTTTATATTATTAATTATGTAGAGGACTGGGATCGACTTATTTTATTGAATATTTCATATTATAAAGTTTGTAACTTACAAACCATGTGGAATTATAAACTGGAAGACCGTAATCTGTTGTGTTTGATTTGTTTTTGTTAAGTAATGGCCTAGGGGAATGTCTTCCGGGAGGTCTTTTTAAGAGTAACTGGCCCCTATCCGATCACAGATCCTAAGCAATACTGACCTTAGACAACAAATATACATAATTTAAGACAAACATAACACAATTAAATGACTAATAATAAATTTAGAAAACGAAATCAGTAAATAAAACACGTAATTACTGTTTAATAAATAGAAAATTGCATTTACTCTACCTTAGTGAGAAGTGGTAATGCTTGTATTTTCAGGGTTATTCAAAAAGATGGAGCAGTTTTTGTATTTTTATTTTAAACAAACTGTGAATAGATGGACTGCAAACCGTTGAATACGGAAAAGTTCATAGTTTTAAATTCTCGCCTAGAAGTTCGATTCTATGCCACACAGAATGTTGTTTATAGCAAAATGGCGACGCCACGGGAGAAGTCATTTTATGTGCTGCAAATTGCGAAGTATGAATCCATCGTTGAAGCGCAATGTGAATTCCGCCGTCGGTTCAACAAACAGCCGACTTGTTATAAGAAAATTTACGTATGGCCAAAAAATTTGTAAAAGATAATTACATAATTGCAAAGCTACTTGCAATTCTTCAATCAAGTATGGCGTGTTCTTAAAAACCGTCTGTAGCCGTACAAGGGCCAGTAATGTACTTGATAGTACATAGTAAATAAAAATGAATGAAAAAACAATGAATGTAGCCGTACAAGTAGCAGTTACTGCAAGCGTTGCATCCTGGAGACCATAACATCGCGGTGCCCAAACTTTAGTCTAACTAGAGAAAATTAAGTTCTACAAATCGATGTAGGACTTTTCCCTTATTAGGCCATCTAATTTCGGAATGTAACAAACTCAGCATCAAGTTCATCAGTCAGTATTTTAAATAATCTGCTCTGAAGTGGTCTGGCACGAATAGAATTTACAATTTTTAGAACAACTTTCATGACATGTTCGTAATGCAATACTTTTGTACATAGTGCCTGTTGATGAACGAATGATGCAGTGATAATAAAAAAGATTTGGAAAATCAGCATCATTCTTATATAATGAGATGAAGTAAACACCAACCAGTAAGGTGCATGATATGGAAGAAGACAATTTAAAAGCAGCGGCGTTTTAGCCTTAAAGGAAAAGGGGCTATAGCCTGGGGGTCCACTAACAGGGAGGCTCCAAACCAATCTTTTATAAGAAAACATTTCCCCTCAGCACACAAAATTTCTCATCCTGTGACGTCGCCATTTGCTTATAAAAAAGAACCAGCACCGTTGTGTTGCGTTGAATGGAACTTCGAGCATTTAAAACTTTAAATCTTTCTCTACTCAACGATGTGCAGAATGTGTGTCCATCCTTTACAATTTATTTAAAATTTGCATCATCTTTTTGAATAACCCTGTATATGTAATACATATAATATAGAGCCTAAATATAAATGGAGCTTACGATTGCAAACAGTGACTAGCAGTCAGTACAAAATGTTCAGAAATTATGGTACATCCACAGATACACCGAGAAGATTTACCATTAAAAAGTCCACACTATAAATAAAAATATTTAAATGTACAACACTTAGAATGTAAATCAAATATTTTTAATAGCTTAATAATACTCACGATCCAGGGTATATAAGTGGTATCAGTATATTGGCCTCCAACGATCATTTCAGTTGTTAAATTAAATTTTTCATTCACATCTCTGTAATACCTTCTTGAATAGTAGCTTCTTCCACACACTAAGAAATATTTAATTTATGTAAAATTTTCTTATTAAATATTTTGCATTAACTAATTTTGGGGGGAGTCTAAACTGAAAGTATAATAACTAAAGGTGAAATGTCTAAAGGGAGAGACAAAGGATGACAAAGAACACCCTGAAGATAAAAGAGAAAGGACGTAGAAGAAGAATTAGATGGGTTTGATGGAATAAGGCAAGGAACACTTGGGATTTGTCAGGGGGTGCCACTGTATGGGAAACTGGGTCTTATTCACGTGTTAAGCTAAGGGCAAAGTTTTCGTATCACAGCAAATCGGTCGAATACCATTACTCGTACGAAAGTCACAGGTTCGATCATCAATCACGCGGTCATAGATTCGACGTTACTCTACGTCGTATCTTTTCAATATCGACTCGTTTAAGCCGGACTTTAGACACACTACTAGCCATGTGAAGTTTTCTAAGTTTTCTTCATGTGTCTAACACCTAATTAGGGGGAATTTCCTGTAGAAAGTCCTTCAGGAGAAACCCTCATTTGTTATGTTGCTTTATCTCTTCAATAAAGAACATCTTTTCGACATTTTGAGGAATTCAACATCTGTTTACAGGTTCATCTGGCATAACTTATTTTATTATTGTACTATTAAATTATTAAATAAGAGTTATCTAAAAGAAGCAAACAATAATAAAGGAAAATAGTTATAATTGAATATGAAAAGCTTACTTTTAATTCATGAAAATTAAATAAAATACAGTATAAACATTTCGTGAGCATCACGATTCAATAAAGGCATCAGTTTTCTGAACTTTCTATTACAAAGAATTAACAGGAAGTTCCGAAAAAATAGGAAATGACGAAGCACAACTTTAATGCAGTAGAATTTTCTATAATTATGATACTTTGACATGACATATTAATAACAATAATATATTTTCAATAACAACTGTATTCATGTATATTATAACTGATACTACAGGTATTAAAACCATATGAATTAATTTAAACAATTAAAATGGAAGGAAAGTGTATAATAATCGAGTATTATTATATTAAATCAAATAGTTATAATTAATTACTAGTAGTACCTTCCCTATAGGCAAACAGTAATTAATTAATGCTGTTGGCTTCAAGTGCGCCTATAAGGAAAAGCCAAAGGGAATATAATGCATTCTTACACTGGAAGTTAGCTAATAAGATCAAAAACCTGTGAACAAAGACCAGTGATGCGAACATATAAAAGGTAATTGCCTGGGGCCTGCAACAAAAGGGACCACAAACCAATATTTTATTTTTAAAAAAAATATAAAGGAAATAAAGGAAGGAAATAAAAAATAATTTTTTATTTCCTTCAAAAAATTACCCGAAGAAAAATGTCTGAAGTCAACACTGTACATGGGCCCCTAATTTAAATTCTCCTGGGCCCCGTGAAGTTATAACGGCCGTATTTCGGAGTAGATTTTGTTTGGACGTTATTCTGCACTCATTTTTAACAAAAGAAGCAAAGAATTTAATCGTTTCTAGATTTAGAAATACAAAAATAATTAAATCCAATTTATCTTAAATAAATATTTAACTATAATTTAAAGCGAAGTTCAACTGAATAAATATATCTATAAATATAGAATTTTTAACGTGTTTTTTATATGTACACATATGATATGATCTATATATATATAGATCATGTTTATATATATGATCTATGTGGCCAAAAAAGTAATCTATGAGTGGCCAAAAAAGCTCTATGGTATCGTAATAATAAGAGACGAGCTCAGAAGCTTTGAAAAATCAAAGAGTTTACTCTTTATCCATAGCTATAGTGGTGGCATATTCATAGCAGTAGAGATAAGTGTCGGTTTGCACGTTTTAATACGGGCCATCCCCCTTCTTTCCCAGATCTGTAGCAATGAGACAAGTAAATTGAAAGCCTTAACCACCACATAGACCCTTTCGCCTTCATCTTGTAAACGTAGTCTAGAAGTAGTTTACGTGATAAAAGCGAAAGAGGCTATCAGTCCAAGTGTAGCTCATAGACATAGTACAGCCTAAAAAAATAGAATTTTTCCCTCTATACCCCAATAATTTATTCCTGGGTGTAAAATTTGGCCCTCTTCTACCATCGGTTCTACTCAGGGTCGACTGGAGATTTTGTGGGGCCTCTGGAAATGTTATTAGAGGATCCAAAATATTTTTATCAAATTTTCTTAAAAATTTGGAATTGTGGGACCCTCTAAGCCAAAAACCAACGTCTCAGCAGGCCCTGGTACTAGTTACGCTACTAGTTGCCTTAACGAGACTAAGGAGTGACGAAATAATACAGGTAAACTTATTAAGAGGTAAAGTTAATTATTATTATATTATAGAGTATATAAAGAGAATATGAAGTTTATATAAGAATTATAAACTAAATAAAATTTAAAAAAAATACTTACTATTGTGTGGTAAGTGTTGAAGAATCGCAGTAGAAGCTAGTATTAAAATAATGAATGAAATCGCTATCATATTTCTGAAATTTTAACTGTAAACTGTAACTTCAAGCTTAAACAGAAGAAAGGAACATGTTAGAATGCTTGTAAGCGTTTATGTAATCCTTTTATAAACTAAACCAATGTTAAAAAATGTAAAGCATTTCCCTTACATTTATGCGATATGCAGTTCAAGGATTAATATAATTACTACTCAACACGTGACGTAGCTGTATGAGTACTTAACGCACGCAAATTTAAAATAATCGAGTACTTTTTTAGGCTTTAAAGTATAATTTAAGTCGAAGGCACTCACAAATTTTAATTAATCATTTAATTTTAATTAAGAATTTCGGGTTCAGAACCTAAAGAACAATGAAAAGTCACCAACAATGAACGCCTTTGTGCCTTCATGCCTATTAAATATGCCTATAAAATGTGAATTTATGTCGATTTTTCTCTTTCCCTTCGAACAAAGATCAAAATCAAACATTGGTGTTTGACGTCAAAGATCTTTTATGGATTTTATTGTTATGTTTGTTGACGTGCAGCTTTATGTACGTAATTGTCTAGTATGAATGAATTGAATCTATTTTTTTACGTGTTTTTCTATTGTTAAAAGTTTTTTAATTCGTATTACGTAAAGTGAAACTGTTACCCGCCTAAATAATATTAATTAAAAATTATAAATGTTACTATATTATTAAATTTTAGGACTAAGTAATATACATCTCTTTTGTTAGTTTTAGGCCCCAATTTTTCGTTAGGAGCACGTAATGTTTGTTTTATTTTTGCCCCTAAATTATATTAGAAGTGCTCAGTGACGTCAAGAGGGTGGACATCGCCATTTTGACTCCTTATATCTCGAAAACGATGTCTGCCCGTCCTTATTTAATCGCAATAACGTGGTTAGATAGATAAAAATAGAGACCAGATATGTAAAGCTTAGAGTCCGGAGGCCCCGATTAACTGTATAGTGTTTATTAATATATAATTAAAATTGAAGCCAGACATTGTTTCTATTTACTGTAAGTAATTGCTCTTTATAACATACTCATCATTTGTACATGTTAATACATAATTTAAAGACTTTTTACTGTTTTAATATGAAACATTAAAACATAAAAGTTTTGTTTTGAAGTGTTTAAATACCATTTTATGGGTAATTAATATTATTACTAAATTAATATTATTACTGAGGCATATTCTACTCTATAATAATGTTATTTAGGGCATAGTAAATTTTCATCTATACTCTATCCAAAATAATTATTTACATCTTATCTTTGGTATTCACGTAAACACTTATACAATAAATACTGAAAATTAATCACTTCTCCTCAATCCATTTGTTAAAGCATGCGTTTCCTATTAAGTCACCTGCACTGCCAGGTGTTGAATCTATATCAATTGTGGTAGTAGTTGTAGGTTTAACAGTCGTGGCAATAGTCGTAGGTACAGCAGTCGTAGATTTAACAGTCGTGGCAATAGTCGTAGGTACAGCAGTCGTAGATTTAACAGTTGTGGCAATAGTCGTAGGTTTAACAGTCGTGGGAATAGTCGTAGGTTTAACAGTCGTGGGAATAGTCGTAGGTACAGCAGTCGTAGGTTTAACAGTCGTGGGAATAGTCGTAGGTTTAACAGTCGTGGGAATAGTCGTAGGTACAGCAGTCGTAGATTTAACAGTCGTGGCAATAGTCGTAGGTACAGCAGTCGTAGATTTAACAGTCGTGGCAATAGTCGTAGGTACAGCAGTCGTAGATTTAACAGTTGTGGCAATAGTCGTAGGTTTAACAGTCGTGGGAATAGTCGTAGGTTTAACAGTCGTGGGAATAGTCGTAGGTACAGCAGTCGTAGGTTTAACAGTCGTGGGAATAGTCGTAGGTACAGCAGTCGTAGGTTTAACAGTCGTGGGAATAGTCGTAGGTACAGCAGTCGTGGATTTAACAGTCGTGGGAATAGTCGTAGGTACAGCAGTCGTAGGTTTAACAGTCGTGGGAATAGTCGTAGGTACAGCAGTCGTGGATTTAACAGTCGTGGGAATAGTCGTAGGTACAGCAGTCGTAGGTTTAACAGTCGTGGGAATAGTCGTAGGTTTAACAGTCGTGGCAATAGTCGTAGATTTAATATCTTTTTCGTCTTTCAGAAACAAGAAATATTTGAAAGCTCCGTCTAATTTTGAAAAATAAATTTTCAATACATTAAATCATAAATTCAGAATAAAAATGTCTTTAATTTTCATGATATATTGCTATTTTATGTGTAGCATAATATTATACAAGCGAAACAAAATAATTATCGATAAATGAAGCGGTAAAATAAATTTCAGAAAATTAAAAATAAGAAAAAAATTCTATCTCATGACATCACCTAGAAGCACAACAGTTGCCGAGTGGATGAGATCATTAAACACTAGTATTTGATCGTGGATTCGCATCTCCTTAACGGACTATCTACAAGGAGTTTTTCGGGTTTTTTTCCGTTTAAAACCTAAATAGGGGACAGTTTACCTTAAAAAGTCGTTTTAGAAAGTATTCCCCTTTGGCTGATTGCAACGATTTCATCAAACCAAACCATTATCTATGGAAAATTTAAAAGTACTTACTGGTTGGAGATAAAGATAACTTTATACCAATAGCTGCAATTAATAAAAGTGGCACAGAAAGTAAAAAATATTTTTTATTCATTTTTTAATCACCTCCGCCCGATTTCTATTTGATTAATATAGCGTTGTTAAAATGTGGCTTTATTACGTCAGTCAATACATCGTACTTGTGACTCACTATTCAGCTGGAACTAAATCATTAAATATAAAGTTAAATTTTCGGAATTCACTTCAGAAATAAGTTTTATAAACATTAGAATATAAAATAATAGTTTTTAAAGTACTGTATTTTACTTTTTCTGCTGTTATACATAACAGAGGAAAAGCATGGCGAAAGGTAAAAAAATAACCCCCAACATAAAACATTTGAACTCAGAGGAACTTGAATCGTCGACAAATAGAAACAAAGGTTGAGGGTTTTTTTTCTGTATGTGTAGATGTTAGTATGGGTGGGCGCACAATTTTGTTCAACCACTTTGAAGCTTAACTCTTGTACCCTTTGTCCGTTTGTTTTGTTAAATTGCAGAAACACAACACTTGTTAATAAAACTGATAGAAACATAAGCTTTAATTTAAGTAAAGACAATTACAATAACATTATTTAGTGTTATCAGATATCCATTTTAAATAGCTGGATACTCTTGTATATACACCCGGAAATCCTTGCTTAGCACATTGGTAACCGAAAGAAACTATACCGATGATTTTCCAACCTGAAGAAGAAGTCATCATAAGAGGACCACCAGAATCACCCTATAAAAGAACATAACATTATGAAATTTTATATATTAAATTATTGAATGTAAAAAGTGTGTGTGAAGATACCTGACACGCATCTTTCCCTCCCGAACTGATTCCTGCACACACAAATCNTTGATACTCTTGTATATACACCCGGAAATCCTGGCTTAGCACATTGGTAACCGAAAGAAACTATACCGATGATCCTCCAAGTAAAAATAGAACGAATCATAAGAGGACCACCAGAATCACCCTATAAAAGAACATAACATTATGAATATATTTATATTAAATTATTGAATGTAAAAAGTGTGTGTGAAGATACCTGACACGCATCTTTCCCTCCCGAACTGATTCCTGCACACACAAATCCTGATGTGATTCCTCTAGGTAATGAAGATGCCCTTAATTGTGTGTAAGAGGCATTACACTGACGATTAGGTATAACACTTATTACAGCTTGCTGAAGTATTTCGGAAGGAAGTCCAGCTATAATAATTAAAATGTTATTAACTTTTTAATAGGTATATCCTTAATAAATCCGACAAGAGTTAATATAATACAAACTGTATGAAGTTTGGCCCCAACCAATAACAGTGACATTTTTTCCGTCGTAGAGTTCTCTGTTTGAAGGTAAGCAGATGGGATTAACATTAGGAATAGACGAGTTTAACTTTAATACAGCAATATCATTATAATGTTGCCCACTTCTATATCTAAGATGAATTGTAATCTTTGAAACTCCATAATTCCTTCCTTCGTTTCTTTTATGGCCTCCAACTTTAACAATATAATCAGAATGTCTCCTAATAATAAAGGTTCTATTAGTATCTATTTTCAAAGCTTAAAGGTGGATAAATTCGTATTTAACTTACTTAGATCTCGAATCGAAACAATGTGCAGCTGTTAAGATATATTTATCTTTAATAATGGAAGCACCACAGTGATAATTGAAACCATTGGTGCCTCTTATATGTAGTGACACCTATAAATTAATTATCTTTAATATTATAGGATTATATGTCCTAAACATATATTCAAATTGTTTAATATAATTAAAATATAAATAAATAAAGACATGAAAATGAAGTGTTTACCATCCAAGGCCAAGAGAATGGTTTTGTATCTTTCCCTCCAACTACTGTAATTTTAAAGTCCCTCTTGACCAGGTGTCTTGAAGATTGTGTAGGCTGTCGTCCACATTCTGTAAAGAAAGATTTAAGATTGCTACATATATATAGGCCTATATTTTTTAATATTTTGTATACGTGATACATATTTAAAATACAATACCAAACCAACAGCCGGATTCATTTCTTGGGTTAACAAAGATAAATAATTACTAAGCAATTTGGCAAAAGACAGGGTCGGACTGTCATCTCTTCTTAAATATAATAATTATAAATAAAGGCTAGCAAAAAGTTACTCGTTATTAGCATTTATTGCTTTGTAAGAAGCAGTAAATGCTAATAACGAGTAAAATTGTCATTACTCGAGATATGACATACGACCTCTCTGTATCTCGCAATCCCTTGACCTTTAATCATAAAAATTTAACAGCATCAATTCTTCTAATTCTTCAACCTCCCAGCAAAATTTCAGAAATTTTCGACAAAAAGCACAAGAGTTATTAAGCTTCAAACATTCATACATACAGAACCCTCCTCCCCCAATATTTTAGCATTTTTCGACGTTTCGAAATCCCCTGAGTCCAAAATTGAAAAATCCTGAGGGGTAATTTTATTTGACCGATTGCCAAACATATCCTCTGATATATATAACAGAGCCAGGAAAATAAAAACAAATCATTTTAACCTAGAAACATATAGCCGCAAACATCACACCAGTGTGCCACTTGAGATACACCGATGTACTGTACTTGTAGGCTAATTGTATATGGATTACGTTGAATTTAGTGTACGACCGCTTCTTCTATGGCACGTGGCACGTCGTTCGGTCCTATCACAATGGCTGGTTACTTCGAATGATCCGGATGGGGCAGTCATCTGTTTGGGAACCGTTCACACCGCACCGGGATTGCCCGTTTCCGTTCGATGTCCCATGAGCAAAGTGTATGTCCGCCATCTTACGAGTTAGTGTTACTGTAAAGATGTACTTTACTCCTGCAACATCGACGAATCACCCAATTTAAGGCGAAAAATGCCTTCTAGAACACTCGTGTGTCACTCCAGACTTACGGTATACTCTGTATCTAATTAATACAGAGTATACTCGAAATCTGGAGCCACAGAATTTATGTTAATCTTTAATTTTTTTTAGTTAGGTCAAAAGATGAACCGCATAATTTTTATATTTTTCGGACTCGGGGGACCTTGAAATGTCGAGAAATGCAAAAAAAATTGGGTTTTTTCCCCTGTTTGTGTGTGTGGGTTAGCACGATTTTTTCCATCCATTTTAAAGCTTTGTCTTTTGTCGAATATTTTTGAAATTTTGCAGGGAGGTTTGTATATTAGGAGGGTTGATACTGTTAAATTTTGGTAGTTGGAGATCGAGAGGGTGGGGAGATAAAAGGTATCGTGTTTTGTATCTCGAGTGGGGACGGACATAATGAAGGTTTTTCTCGCTATTAGCATATACAATTTTTTTTTTCATCTCTACACTTAAAATTAAGCTTTTTGCCATTTTATAATAATTAATAATATTAAACTTTTAAAAATAAAATCTCGTAACAGATGATGTCACACACAATTTTAACATTCTGCGAGGTAAGTTCGGCAACTGGTTGTTACGTAACTTTTTAAAAAATTTTTAGAGAAACTATTTAATATATATATAAATAGGTATTGCTTCAGTGAAAATAAATGACAAAAATATTAAAATTGTAGTATTTACACGATATCTGTGTTTTTAATTACAGTAAAAATTTTATAATTTATTGTACTTGTGGATGGAAAGTAATTAGGCATTAAAAACTATATGTAATTTTCGTAATATTAATACAATCGTAATAAAGTTTATGTCTGATTTACAACCGATAACAAAAGTTTATAACTGCAACACTTTTATTGCGTATATTGACCGAAAGAAGCTGCACCTGCAGTGGAAAGAAAAATGGCCGACCGCTTGTCTGTTCAGGAGCGAGCTTAAATTGCTGCACGTTAGTTGTGGAAATCAGTGGTTGCTGAATAGAGATAGTGATGTACGGTGAATGAACGTCATGCCATAATCCAGCAATCAAGAATTGTCATTCGAAAGGTAAAAGATCACAAGTTCGGTTACTTACGGGCAGAAAAGTGGCCGTCTATTCACATATACAATTCGAAGAAAACATATCGTTGGTGAATAGCAGCAGTACCAGTATTTAATTTTAAACAGGCATCCGTACTTCCATTTAATAACGTATATGTTAAATAATTTTCATTCACTTTGTTTTAGAAATATAGAAATTATAGAGATTTTTACATGCCTAGTTACTTTCCACCCACTCTGTATATATATTTACAACGTTAGTAATGAGAAAAGGTTACCTCTATGAAGAACGTATATATTCGAATTTTGATTGTTTAAAATTGGGCAACAAACGATTGGCAATTTGTTTCTCCAGGTACAGATATTTGGATGAGATTGAGATAAATTTCCCATAGTTTTACAATCTGTAATCTGTTTGCAAATTCCACGAATATTAGGTGAGATGGAACAGGTGCGATTTTCTTTTTTATCATCTAAAAGAAATGCTATACCACCTGAAAAATAATTTTTATGAAAATTAATTATTTATCTTTGAAAAAATTCAATAAAATAAAGTCATGTATCTGCTGGATACATACGCCCCAGATGTGGGGTCACACTTAAATAGGGGCTAATATACCAAAGAATTCCTCTCAGACGGCATTACCCCTCGTGCGATGAGTTGTCATATACCATTAAAATCAGACCAAACTCTACCCCCTCCAACCCAGAACAAAGGATGAGCAGAAAGGTCTTTACGCCATGACTAAGTCAATACAACTGTCACATTTATTAATATGAATTTTTGTATAATTCCTCTAAGATATAGAAATGTTAGTACAGTATTAAATAAAACAAGTCTGCTTAAAATTCGAATGTGGAATTTCGGTAATCTACAGTAATTAACATCATACAGTGCTATCTGAAAGGACTTTTTTCTAGTTTTACACGATCCCCTTTACGTTCTATTGAAAGAACAACAAATGCAGTTAACCTATGTTAGCTCATCATAGTTTAATACGCACAGAAAGACGGAGAACACACAGGAAACAATTAAAAATAAAAGAAAAAAAACTTACCATTTTCAACGTTTTTTATTACTGTAACAAATAACAACATGAATAACAACTTCATGACAGATTTTCTATAATATTTACAATGGAAAAAGGCTTCAGAACTATTGAAAATGAATCGTGTTGAGTAACTGACGACTCTACTAAACCTGTTTTAAAAATTCCCTTCTTATAAATGTAAATAACCTTTACTTAACATATTTAACTGTTACAAAATCAAGTGGTTTTTTTACAAACGACAGAAATATTTGGAAAGTTCTCTTTTATAAAATAATTATAAAATTATTAATAAATCAATATTTTAATGATGTTTTAGGACAGTGGCACGTTATCCTATGAGCAAAAAAAAGAAATTGCCCGGGTCCTCTAACAACAAGGGACTCAAAACCAGTCTTTTATAAAGTAATATTTTCCCAAAACTATTCCCCCCGAAAAAAAATGTGCTGTATGTAGGGGGGCATGAAGCACCACTGGCTTTAGGGGATGACTTCACCTCACCACCCCAGACGAAATGCCAATAAACATAACCAAATGTAGAATTTAATCGTGTTATGTGTAAATGCACTGTAGTGAAGTACGCACGTGAGGTTGTTAAGTGTGAGGTCGTACCCATCCTCAACATCTTCAACTCCAATATCTAAGAAACGTGACTAATAAAAATTGTTATTTAATTTTTTAAAACATTAAAATTATTATAGATATTTTGCTTATGACACCGAAATATACTAATTTATCATAAACAATACTTATAGAGCAATCACTAATACAGAAAAATTCGGTTTTTTCTGTATGTGTATGGGGGGCACGAGTTTTGTTCACCCTGTTTGAAGCTTAATAACTCCTGTGATTTTAGTCGAAAAGTTATGAAATTTTGCAGGGTGGTTTGTATATTAGGGAGATTAATGCGATTAAATTTTGGTTATTAAAGGTCGTGGGAGTGGGGAGATAAATGGGGTCGTGTGTCATATTTCGAGTATGGTCAAAGTTAATGACGATTTTACTTGTTATTAACATTTACATTTTTTTAAAAAAAATAAAATTCATACTTATTCTCAGAATTAAGTATTTTTTCTATTTTATAATAATTAATAATAATATAAAAAGGTTTTTAATAAAATTTCATAAAAGATGGCACTACAAGCAGCTTTAAGTCTCGATGCAGAGAAAAATAAGCATCTCGTTTCTGAATTATTATATAGTGATATAAATGAAATTATATTAAATTTATGAGAATTAAGTTTATTATACAGAAATTTAATGTCCAAATATTAAAGTCCATTTAATATACACGCTAAATATCGATTAATTTCAATAATATTGGGGGGAATATGTCCCGATGTCTCAAACGAATTAACACCTGTGGCTCCGTGCCAAATTTCCAACTTGTAGAATCAATAAATCACTGCTTTGTCTGGCTTTTCTCAACCAACATGTCAAGCATACAGTGTGGTAGCTAGAGTTGTTGGCGCCCAGGGCACGATTCTGATCTCGTGCCCTCAAAAATTCTTTCTATATGTATTGAAATACTAAGAATCGCTTCGCTGATTGCTCTCACCGGAGTTTGCAACCGTGGGATCTGTCCTTGGCCATCATGAATAACATTCTGCTTGCTGCCAGAACGTTACTCATGCCGAGTCATAGGATCCACGGTAACGGTATCTTTTCATGTTTTATATAAAGACACATTAAAAGATAAGTACAGTATATACTTATCGTTTATTATACGTATTGACATTATTACAATGAATTTTATAGAAGACAACGTTTATTTTATAAGATTAAAATTTATTTTAAATAAAAACATTTATGAATACGTTATTTAGTATTATCAGATATCCATTGTAAATAATTTGATACTCTTGTATATACACCCGGAAATCCTGGCTTAGCACATTGGTAACCGAAAGAAACTATACCGATGATCCTCCAAGTAAAAATAGAACGAATCATAAGAGGACCACCAGAATCACCCTATAAAAGAACATAACATTATGAATATATTTATATTAAATTATTGAATGTAAAAAGTGTGTGTGAAGATACCTGACACGAATCTTTCCCCCCCGAACTGATTCCTGCACACACAAATTCTGATGTGATTCCTCTAGGTAATGACGATACCTTTAACTGTGTGTACGAAGCATTACATTGACTATTAGGTATCATATTTATTTTAGCTTCCTGAAGTGCATCAGCAGGACGTCCAGCTACAATAATTATAATTTTAAGTATAAATTATTATACGCTTGATAAATTTAAACAATAATTTGGTGACGTACCGAAAGAAGTAACTCCCCAACCAATAACTGTTACACTTTCCCTATCGTAACGTTCATTGTTTGAAGGTAAGCAGATGGGTTTAACATTAGGAATAGACGAGTTTAACTTTAATACAGCAATATCATTATAATGTTGCCCACTTCTATATCTAGGATGAATTGTAATCGTTGAAACTCCATAATTCCTTCCTTCGTTTCTTTTATGGCCTCCAACTTTAACAATATAATCAGAAGACTTCCTAATAATAAAGGATCTGTTAGTATCTGTTTTCAAAGCTTAAAAGTGGATAAATTTGTATTTGACTTACTTAGATTCCGAATCGAAACAATGTGCAGCTGTTAAGATATATTTATCTTTAATAATGGAAGCACCACAATGATAATTGAAGTTTCTGCTACCTCTTTTGTGTAATGATACCTGAAAATTATTAAAGTTAGCGTTAATATATTTTGATAGGTGCTCGTAAACGTGTAGAACAATGATTTTAATATTAGTTTTCAAAAGATATTAAAATAAATGTAAAATGAATTGCTCACCATCCATGGCCAAGAGAATTTACTCGTGGTTCGTCCTCCAACAACTCCAAAACGTCCAAAAGATTGTATAAAAGGGTCTCGACCACATCCTGAACAATAAAGCAAGACTTAATATTTTACTACATGAGGTTCCAGGTTTTACTTGGGAAAATCCTCAGGAAGTGGGGTAGAGCTACGCCCTCCTCACCTTCTAAATTCTCCCCTGTTTTATAATTGGTGTATGTTTTATACCATTTATCTTCTTAAAATTCTATTTTTTTATAGACTTTACGTAATGTCGATCGGGACTTTTTTTCCGTAATAAAACCTTACAGAAACCTCATTATCTCAATCGTCAAGGACAAATACAGCTGTCCACAAATGGCATCCGCACTGGAAGGGAGGGAGGAAGTTACGACAAGTCTTTCTTCTTTCCTTCAAGAACTTCAATGGACGTCTGTTTTATTTCATTAATTAATTAAACTTTAAACAGTTTATACATTTTATTATTTTATAAAGTGATAAAGATTTTCGGGCGGGTTGAGTTTTGTTGGACGTGCGAAAAGGGGAAGAGTTAATGAAACTTGAAGAAACTTGGGACAATGAGGGTGGGGAATAAAAATTTCAAGGAGAATGTGGACATAACTATATATATATTACGCTAAAGGCTGTGTATATACAGTATATAAATATATAACTTACAGCTAGGGAATTCGATCCCGGTCCTTATTTCTAATCCCGGGATTTCGGGATTATACTTAGTCAATCCCGGGATCCCGGGATTATTCCAATATTGAGGGTTAATAAAAAATAAGAAAATCTTACAGAAATCAACAAATCAAAATTTAGACAAAAATCAACATATTTTACAGTATACACCTAGCTAATTTAATCACTCTAACTAATCAGACTCAGAGTCAGACTAACCAGACTTAAAATCACTCAGTCTTCATGTTAAATTTATTCTTTTTTAAGCATCACTGAGATCTCTTTAAACTCACATAAATTGAAAAAACCTTTATGTAACAAACTATGCAAATAAACGTTGAAAATTAACAAAAATCTCTCTTAACATCGACTAAATAGACTACTTTCATATAGCAACCTAGTAAGTAGGTAGTAAGATAAGTTTCTTAGCAAAAAGTATTTAAAAATAATATTAATCAGTCACATTTTTCTTAAATATAAAGAAAACTAATCTAATAGGAACATTCTAATTTGAATTGCGAAAATATGATCTGAGAAATAACAACGCATCCTGTGTCTCATCACCAAGTCTGCTTCTCAATTTGTTGCACATATATGCAGCTGCTGAGAAAACGCGTTTAGGTTTGATGGAAGTTGGAGGAATCGTTAGTAAATACTTATAAGCCCGTTCTAGTTATAGCTTCGAGGACACGGGGAGGTTGGAAGAAAACAGTCCGGTCGACACAGATCGGGATTGTAGGAGTAAAGGCTACAATCCCGATTGTTTCGATCATTGTAAGCATGCCTTTCTAAAAATAAACACGTTAATTTTGTAAATTCGGTCTCTGTGTGAGTCTCTCAGCATCCAGCAAACCACTACTCCCAAACGTAAAAAGACTTTCTCGCATCATCCTGACAGATCACGGGCAAGGCGGGGGTCGTAACCTTTTCACCTAAGGTCGACCCCCCTAAGCGAGAGGCGTCGGGTCTATATTAACCACACTGGCAAAACAAGATGGCTGACACATTGACAGGTAAAACGCACTGAGTAGTGCTCTCGACTGCGCCAGAAAATCGATTGGCGCCCGCGAAAATTCAAAAATACAAAAATGAAGTATATTACCAAGTAACCCAGTGAGAACTGCTTGCCTATCATTTTAGTTGAAAATACAAGAAGTTTTATTCCAAGCAAGCATCGCAAGCCCGCTAGGTTAATTTCTGCTGCTTGCTTGGAATAAAATTTCTTGTATTTTATATTAAAATGATAGGCAAGCAATTCTGTTAAAAGCACTGGCACTGAACGTTTCGCTTCATGCAGTCTATTTTGCAACTTTTTTTAAAATGATGTCAATCCCGAAAATCTCGGGATTAGGAAAACTTAATCCCGAAAATTTTGGGACTGAAAAGTGGTCGGGATCCCGGGATCCCGATTTTCGAGATCCCGGGATCAAATCCTCTACTTACAGCCTACATTTGTACTACATTTATAGATTAGTCCATAACAATACAGTTTAATGTGTATATAAACTATTAATGAGATTTAAAAATGGCAGACGGTAAATTTACAATATAGCCTATATAAAATACAGAAGATACTAAAATGTTTTCGTTTCTGTCCTTTCCAACACCAGGAACTAACAACCTTTCTTAGCAGAGATGACCTTTTATTATAGGTTACGACTCTGCTACATTATGCAAATTTTAAATTACGTATACAATTTTTACACGTTTTTTGTGACTTATTATCAATATTTTTAACTGTTTTGCCTATTGTAGAAGAGTTTTAACCTATAATAAAAGGTCGTCTCTGCTAAAGAAGCTGTTAGTTATTCTGTAGAGTACAGGCTAATGACCTTCACTCTATCCTACTGACTAGTTTCTTCAGTAAAGGCAACGATTATATATGTAATATACAATGCCTGTCCATGCCGACAGATTAAAATTATAAAAATTACATATAAAAACGAAATGACTAGTCTGACTCATCTTATAGAGTACACTGTACTCTATCATTAGCTTGAGTACAGCCTGAAAAAGTAAAAAAGAAGAAAACAAAGCAATTAAACTCACTATTCATCTCGACATTCCTTATCACAGCCAGGAATAATAATATAAATAACACCTTCATCACAGATTTTCTATAACTCAGATAATATTTACACCAAACGAAAGATATTAGGTGGATGAACTGCAGCATTGGTGTATTAAAGAACACACATCAATTGAGTAACCGATGGCCCTTTAAACCTGTTTTAATAATCCTCTTTTAAACGCAGACGAATTAATTTTTTACTAAGCAAAACCTTTTTTCCATTAGTAATTTTCTCCTTTCATAAAATCATTATTAAATTATGTAAAATTATTAATAAATGAGATTATATTCTAATTATTATTTTTTTATATTCGGAAAAAATAAACGGGAAGGTAATAGTGGGGTAAGGAATTCATTGTAAGATTATTTAATACAGGAAACAAAGAAATCGTCATTAAATTAAAATGATAATATAAATTCTAACGAATGATTGCAAGTTTTCCTTGTTAAAACAGCAATAGAATTGCAATTGTAATTTATAAATTCAAGTTCATTCAAGTAAATCCAAGAAAAGTAGAAATACCAATGCCATGAAATTCTTGAAATTTATGAATAATATTTACTCTTGAATTTAATTCATAATTTTATTTCAACAAGTAAACAACAAGTAGCTAATAAATTAGTTTAATTTATGTAAATATTATAACAGTGGTAGCAATTTCTACTTCACATTAGAGTATTGTAAGCAAATGTCATGTAACTTATCTTAAGCGATGCTTGTTTTAGTCGATACAATAGCTTACCACCTGATACCTCATTCACAATAATAATAATAATAATGGTAATTATACAATGAACAATTTGCAAGTAATTATACATCTACTGAATAATGGCCGAAAGAGTTTTGTGAGACTCTTGAAAACCCAATTCGTGGGTACTCAATAATATATTTGTCCAGAAACAAGTAGTTGGCAGCAAACTATATCATGCTCCAGCAAATTCCTCCAAAGCCAAATTAACAGAGTAACTTCAGCAAAGAAAAATCATCATTTCCACTTTGAAAACCTGAGTACTCATTATTTAAAGCTATAAAGTATTCAGGAAGATGGTTGAAAATTTTACTAAGATATTGAAATAATCATGTTTTAATTGAAAAATTCATAATTTACGGAAACTCGATATTCCTCCACAAGATTCGTATAGCATCGATCAAAACAATTAATTAGTATTGCCAGTATGGACAAACTTAAAATTCCTCTTGTTATTTTACCCTACAGAAAAGCTTAATTTGAAAAATTTTCCTATACAAAATTTCAAATATTCTTCAGTAAATAATATGAGAATTTGGTACTCATGTTCTTAACTCATGTTTTTAACTTATGGTAGAATTTATTCTGAAATCTTTAAGATCTTGGTTTAAAGAGAGAGAGAGAGAGCGATAAGTTCGATAAGATGCTAAATTGTCATTCAAATCGACCTTTCTGTAAGATCCATCGTGGGCTCATCCAGGCCCACAATGGGACAACTCACTGACGAGACACGAAATTCCTAGAATTATTCGACCCGCCTGGATCGATCCCGGTTACAATAAACTGGCGCCTTAATAACCACATTTAGGAATTAAAAAAGGAGGAATTCTAAGAATAATTCACTTTACCTGTTTTTCCTTATTATTTTTTTCTAACACTTACTTGATTAGGTAAATTATTAACTGACCTTGTTACCTGCACGATTTCTTTTTTGAAACATGGAGTAATTTCCCTATGCAAAGTAGTGTGAATGTACTCCACTTTTTATTCCTATTATCGTTGCCATTATTGATCTTAATGAATGTTGTTGTTGTTGGTTAAGTTATGGCAACGCAACACTTGAGCGATCTGCCTAGGGGGTGCCTTCCGGGAGGTCTTTTTAAGGGAAACTGGCCCCTATTTAGGTAATACAGACATGAAGAAACCCCGAAAAATTTCACGTGGCCAGCCCGTTCGAACGAGGCTCGAACCCACGACCGAATTCCCAGTGTACAGGGAACAAACCGCTTGGCCACTGGTGTACCCCTTAATGAATGAAGACAAAAAATTTCGTATAAAATTCAAATTTTCTTACGAATAAAAGTTAAGAAGTCAGCAATAACGAGAATGTTAACAGTATAGAAAGTTATACTGTGGTACCCCTAAAGTCGTGCATAACATAGGAACCCCTGAAAGCGCTAGTGGTTACAACTACAATGACAGGGTTAAATGTAGAATTTGCATGTTTTAATTCGGCTCTAATTACACTACTGGTCAACGATTTATAAATTTTGCAATATTTTGTAGACATTTATTTAAAGAAATCTATTTCTTTCGTTTCATTTATAATTGTGTAACAGAGATTTTCTTTGAAAATTGAAAAAGTAGGTAAGAAAAAATTCACAATTTTTTATTTTACTGTGAAAAGTAAGTAATTCTACTAGTAAACACCTACAGATACTGAAAGAATCACGCAAAGTCTATTTTTGTGTCACAATTAAACTGGTTTAATAGGTAAAACGGTTGTTTTTTCTGTCTATCTCGTAAGTTCAATGTCATTAAACACAAACATTCATCATTATCGCTACAATAACGCAGTGTTTATAGCAATTAAACTGCTACGTTCGTATTCAGTCAAACATAAAAGGATCAATTATTAAAGTTTAAATGAGTGAACATTTATTAGCTACGATTGGATTGACGAAAACAAAATCAATACATAAGCAATCTGACAAGCGAGTAGAGTACTTTTCTATGAGAAACTTACCCTTTTTAAGCATTAGATACAATGAAAAAATTCCGGAAAGTTCACGTTGGTCAGACTCACAAACAAACTACCAGTTTTCGGTGGTTTTATCCACTCGACCACTAGTGAATGCTTGCTAATTATCTTCTAACTATAACCCTTGATCCTTGTTTATGAATACGAACATGTTTTGTCTTTTCTTTTTGACTTTCCTGAGCACTAGGAAGGGTTTTTTTCTAGAAATACTCATCATGGATTCGGACAGACTCCATTAAGCACTGTGCCAAAATGTTCGTGAAAAATCCTTGTGTTTTACCGGTGTTATTCGATTTTGAGTCCACAGTGTTGTAGGCTCGAACACAGATGCTAGTGATTTATTATTTTAATTAACCTACCGGTAAACTTCTAAATGAAATTCTTACAGGAAATATTACTCGTCATTTCCGCGGATTTCATCACATTAGAACTTCTAGTTTTTTTTTTTTTTACATTTATTTATTTGATAAACTCGAATTTATACTAATTACAACACGCATTGCTTATTTAATAACTAAAAATTGCAATATTTTATTAGAATTTGTAACAATTTAATTATTTTAATTTAATGAATTAACTTCATTGTTAGCTTTCTGTGCGAAATTTTCTCAATTCCTATTTATTTTATACAGTATATTTAGCTATATTAAGTATTAATGGAATAAGGCGAGGCAATACATAAGCCATTTACCCTTTGTTAGGACTTTCTATGCCAAACTTAGGCGAAGAAAATTAGGAAAACTTCACGTTAGTCAAGCTCCAACCTACGTCAAACTATAAGTGTTCGAGGGTTTTATCCACTCGGCTGTTTCTGAAAAGAATGATATTTTGAAATGGGTAATTCGGACAATTAAAGATGAGCTACGTGTATAAAATGGAAATTATCTAATACAGCTTTAGATTCGACAGTCACTCGATTGAAGTGTTCATTAATACTTCTATTATCTATTTATTCTTGTTTGTATTGTTAATATTACACAAATTGAAGCGATTCGTGATGAAATTATTATCTATAGTAATTTTAGTAGTGGTGACAAAGAGNATATTTTAATAGGAAAACATATGTTAAAAAAATCAATGTTCTATTAATCAGCCAGAGGACAAAGAACAGTTTGTTTGTCGGTCTGCGTGTGTATGGGAATTTAATTAAAAAATAAGTGGGGAAAAAACGGAGTTAAACTCACCTTTCGTCTCGATATTTATCACAGCTAGTAACAGTAGGACCAGTAACAATTTCATGACAAATTTTAAATAATTTAAATGATAGCAATGATACAATTATTGACGATCACTCCAATCAAGTATCTGTCGTGTCTGTAAACCTGTTTTGACAATTCCCTTTTTATAAATGTAAGTATTACGTAGAAGAATTAAGTATTGCAAAATCAATGTGTGTTTTTTTTTTAATAACAAGAAACGTTTTAAATCCTCTTTCAGAGGTTTCTAGAAATTTCAGAAATTCTGTCAGATCATATTTTAAAAAATTTAGCAACGAGTTGCTTAACTTTTCCGGCAACATTTGGTGGCACCATCTGTTAACATGTTTTATTAATTAAGAAACCTTTTATATTTTTGACTATTAAACAGGGTAGGGACGAGTTTTATTAAAATTGTAAATGCTAATAACAAGTAAAATTTTCATTAAGTCTGACTCTAATAGAGATACACACGATTCCCTTTATCTCTCAACCTCTTCAACCTTTAACCTCCAAAATTTAAAGGCATCAATCATCTAATAAACAAACCTCGTTGAAAAATTTCTCCTGTTTTTTGTCAAAAATTTTTCGACAAAAAACACAGGAGTTATTAAACTCCTGTGCATTTCTCGACCTTTTAAGATGTCCTGAGTCCAAAAATCTTGTGGGGTCATTTTTTGACCTATCACCATACTTATACAACAGCCGGAAAAGTAAAAATGGCTCAAAAATACACTCATTTAAAAGGTTGAGTATTTACATAAATATCCAATAAATACAAAATTAATAAATTTATAAAATACAACATTGTCACTTAGCTGATAATTTATTGATTTAACATTACGAAATTATTAGATTGAAGGCATCATGGACACTCTCTCAAGTAAAAGATGCTTCTTGGGAGGTCTTTTATGGTAACCTGGTCCATAAAAAAACTTGTATTTGGGTGTTAAACACGGGAAGATGACCAGTTAACTTCACGTGGCCATCAAAGGTAGGCAGTGATAAAACCACTGACACGAGTTCGCTCCAAGCGGTTAGTGGTTTTATCACTAGCAGGAGCGCTTAGGAAATTATTACACAATACAGATGAGATAGTAGCAATAGATTTATTGTTGTAATTGATATAAATTAAATTTTATATTAATAAATCTATGATAAAATTCCTTGTAACTTGGAATTCTTCGAAAATAATGGGCACGCTGCCTGAAAAGAGACCTTCATTCAGCTGGATAAGAAAGCCAATGTATTGATAAAGTATTCATAAAATTCGTAAAGTAAAAATTAAAATTTTCACATTAATTTGTTTGAGAAAATGTAAAACTAAGATTTAGGGAATTTTTTTTTGCATTTTTTGCCCACTACACAAAAAGAGGGCCTTTTTGTTTATTTCCAAAGTGAGTTTGTCAAGGCCCACAATACCGGAAAGTAAGGGACGGGGCCCTACATAACAGAGAGATCAGTAGAGCACCCTGGAAAAATAAACTGGAGGTTTTCAAGTGCCCAAATATCGAGGGTTCTCCAGAGAGGTAGGCTGAGGTGTTAATTGACTCAATTGCTACACCGCAAACACACAGGTACCCACAAAATTTTTTCACTATTTTGACTTTTCTGGGTTCAGGGTGTCCGAAAACAGTCGATATTTGCAAAGCATCTGGGGTTCAAATTTGACACGCTTTCAATATTTCTCCGTTATACATACGTGAGAACCAGAGCAGTTTTTGCTAATTTTATTCATACACTAAATAATTACGATTTTATAAAGTGCAACTAAATTAAACTTTTTGGGAAGTCGACAGGGAAGTTCATGAAATCTTATCTTGACATCGTTTCCTATTTATATAACGCAATCATCCATTGAGTTGGACTCATTTAGGGAAGTTTTCGCAGAAAATCTTGGATTGGACAATGATTCAGCTGCCCGAACGATTTTTACCAAATTTGGGCATACGGATGTAGTGGAAAAGAACCGAATATAAAATTAAATTGAGAAAATGTCGGCGAGGAGAGTTCGAGTCAGGTCATCGCACGTTCTCAAGAAGGTTCCTTTCCTCCTGAATCTTTCGCCTGATTTTTCAATAGTTAGTGACTGGAATAAGAATTTACTACCCAAACGAAGTTAAATGACATTAAGAATTACAAAACAATGAACAACGATCATAGGGAACAATAAGAATTGAGCCACGATGGATCGCATCATCAAATAGAGGTATTTGAATCGATCAAGTGGCGCGTTATCCTATGGGCAAAAAGGGAAATTGTATGGGGCCTCCACCAACAGGGGACCTCAAACCAATAATTTATAATCTCATTTAATTAANAATAATAATAATAATAATGGTAATTATACAATGAACAATTTGCAAGTAATTATACATCTACTGAATAATGGCCGAAAGAGTTTTGTGAGACTCTTGAAAACCCAATTCGTGGGTACTCAATAATATATTTGTCCAGAAACAAGTAGTTGGCAGCAAACTATATCATGCTCCAGCAAATTCCTCCAAAGCCAAATTAACAGAGTAACTTCAGCAAAGAAAAATCATCATTTCCACTTTGAAAACCTGAGTACTCATTATTTAAAGCTATAAAGTATTCAGGAAGATGGTTGAAAATTTTACTAAGATATTGAAATAATCATGTTTTAATTGAAAAATTCATAATTTACGGAAACTCGATATTCCTCCACAAGATTCGTATAGCATCGATCAAAACAATTAATTAGTATTGCCAGTATGGACAAACTTAAAATTCCTCTTGTTATTTTACCCTACAGAAAAGCTTAATTTGAAAAATTTTCCTATACAAAATTTCAAATATTCTTCAGTAAATAATATGAGAATTTGGTACTCATGTTCTTAACTCATGTTTTTAACTTATGGTAGAATTTATTCTGAAATCTTTAAGATCTTGGTTTAAAGAGAGAGAGAGAGAGCGATAAGTTCGATAAGATGCTAAATTGTCATTCAAATCGACCTTTCTGTAAGATCCATCGTGGGCTCATCCAGGCCCACAATGGGACAACTCACTGACGAGACACGAAATTCCTAGAATTATTCGACCCGCCTGGATCGATCCCGGTTACAATAAACTGGCGCCTTAATAACCACATTTAGGAATTAAAAAAGGAGGAATTCTAAGAATAATTCACTTTACCTGTTTTTCCTTATTATTTTTTTCTAACACTTACTTGATTAGGTAAATTATTAACTGACCTTGTTACCTGCACGATTTTTTTTTTGAAACATGGAGTAATTTCCCTATGCAAAGTAGTGTGAATGTACTCCACTTTTTATTCCTATTATCGTTGCCATTATTGATCTTAATGAATGTTGTTGTTGTTGGTTAAGTTATGGCAACGCAACACTTGAGCGATCTGCCTAGGGGGTGCCTTCCGGGAGGTCTTTTTAAGGGAAACTGGCCCCTATTTAGGTAATACAGACATGAAGAAACCCCGAAAAATTTCACGTGGCCAGCCCGTTCGAACGAGGCTCGAACCCACGACCGAATTCCCAGTGTACAGGGAACAAACCGCTTGGCCACTGGTGTACCCCTTAATGAATGAAGACAAAAAATTTCGTATAAAATTCAAATTTTCTTACGAATAAAAGTTAAGAAGTCAGCAATAACGAGAATGTTAACAGTATAGAAAGTTATACTGTGGTACCCCTAAAGTCGTGCATAACATAGGAACCCCTGAAAGCGCTAGTGGTTACAACTACAATGACAGGGTTAAATGTAGAATTTGCATGTTTTAATTCGGCTCTAATTACACTACTGGTCAACGATTTATAAATTTTGCAATATTTTGTAGACATTTATTTAAAGAAATCTATTTCTTTCGTTTCATTTATAATTGTGTAACAGAGATTTTCTTTGAAAATTGAAAAAGTAGGTAAGAAAAAAATCACAATTTTTTATTTTACTGTGAAAAGTAAGTAATTCTACTAGTAAACACCTACAGATACTGAAAGAATCACGCAAAGTCTATTTTTGTGTCACAATTAAACTGGTTTAATAGGTAAAACGGTTGTTTTTTCTGTCTATCTCGTAAGTTCAATGTCATTAAACACAAACATTCATCATTATCGCTACAATAACGCAGTGTTTATAGCAATTAAACTGCTACGTTCGTATTCAGTCAAACATAAAAGGATCAATTATTAAAGTTTAAATGAGTGAACATTTATTAGCTACGATTGGATTGACGAAAACAAAATCAATACATAAGCAATCTGACAAGCGAGTAGAGTACTTTTCTATGAGAAACTTACCCTTTTTAAGCATTAGATACAATGAAGAAATTCCGGAAAGTTCACGTTGGTCAGACTCACAAACAAACTACCAGTTTTCGGTGGTTTTATCCACTCGACCACTAGTGAATGCTTGCTAATTATCTTCTAACTATAACCCTTGATCCTTGTTTATGAATACGAACATGTTTTGTCTTTTCTTTTTGACTTTCCTGAGCACTAGGAAGGGTTTTTTTCTAGAAATACTCATCATGGATTCGGACAGACTCCATTAAGCACTGTGCCAAAATGTCCGTGAAAAATCCTTGTGTTTTACCGGTGTTATTCGATTTTGAGTCCACAGTGTTGTAGGCTCGAACACAGATGCTAGTGATTTATTATTTTAATTAACCTACCGGTAAACTTCTAAATGAAATTCTTACAGGAAATATTACTCGTCATTTCCGCGGATTTCATCACATTAGAACTTCTAGTTTTTTTTTTTTTTACATTTATTTATTTGATAAACTCGAATTTATACTAATTACAACACGCATTGCTTATTTAATAACTAAAAATTGCAATATTTTATTAGAATTTGTAACAATTTAATTATTTTAATTTAATGAATTAACTTCATTGTTAGCTTTCTGTGCGAAATTTTCTCAATTCCTATTTATTTTATACAGTATATTTAGCTATATTAAGTATTAATGGAATAAGGCGAGGCAATACATAAGCCATTTACCCTTTGTTAGGACTTTCTATGCCAAACTTAGGCGAAGAAAATTAGGAAAACTTCACGTTAGTCAAGCTCCAACCTACGTCAAACTATAAGTGTTCGAGGGTTTTATCCACTCGGCTGTTTCTGAAAAGAATGATATTTTGAAATGGGTAATTCGGACAATTAAAGATGAGCTACGTGTATAAAATGGGAATTATCTAATACAGCTTTAGATTCGACAGTCACTCGATTGAAGTGTTCATTAATACTTCTATTATCTATTTATTCTTGTTTGTATTGTTAATATTACACAAATTGAAGCGATTCGTGATGAAATTATTATCTATAGTAATTTTAGTAGTGGTGACAAAGAGTATTGAAATGAACGGTGAGTTTAATTGTTTCGTTTTTATTATTAAATATGGTTTACTAGGTCATTATATAGAGTATAGAGTACACTTTATCTTCTATACTTTTCACAATGAAATTAAATCCTCTCGGGATAGTTTGCATTTCTTTATCTTTCTAATTTTTTTTCCAACACAGATAATCAGTAGGTTATTCCCACATAAAGTTATAGCAATTAAATGATAGACTACTAGAGTAGGTAATTGATAACACAACTGCACAGTAAGTAGAAGTTACAGATTTAAGGCGATGTATGTATATATATATGTAGGGTTAAAGGGTTAAATGATGAATTAAAGTATGATCATTTAGTGGTTTCTGCAGATGAATTCAATTGGTAATTGACCAAACAATCAGATTTAGAAGAAAATAGATCAAAGATTTGTATTTGCGTTTTGCTTTATAACTCGGTAGTCCTCTTATAATATGGAGTGCCATAATCATGAATCTGATAGAAGAGTTTGTGAGTAGGGTGTTGTTGCTTTTTGACGAAAAGTATGCCGTTTATCTCGTCCTAGATAAGTGAATTGTTTGGAAAGGACTGTTATATTTGCTGCCAATCAAATCAACGAGCTTCTGCAGTGCCGTATTAAGAAACAGGAGAAGAACAAAAAGAAAATACAGCTTTTTTGGCGATTTATGCACTTTTCAATTGCTTATATTTCGGCAACCGCTTTATAAAAAAGTTTGAAATTTTGCAAGCTACCTAAGAAAACAATTGTCTTCCGAACGAGATATTCGGAATATATTTAGAAGTTTTGTGGCAAAGAAATCGACCCCGAAAATTGACAACTGATTCCTGTAATCAGTCGATGTCTTTTTTACTTGGCGGGGAGTCACTGCCGACTCTTAATATCAAATATTTTAAAAATATAATAAAAGAAAAATACATTAAAATTTTTTTATTTTACAGAAAATAAAAATCTTACACGAATTTTAACGAATCCAGCAAATGCTCCATCCGTTGTTGGAGGGGAAACAGCAAGTTTATTCTCTTGGCCTTGGATGGTAAATAATTTAAATTACAATAATTTAATATCTTTAGCAAATTTGTATTAAATTGTATCTTCTTATATAAAAATATATTTAACTTAATTTAAATAAATTTAAAAACATGTAGGCATCACTACACAAAAGAGGTAGCAGAAGCTTTAATTATCAATGTGGTGCCTCCATCATTAAAGACAGATATATCTTAACAGCTGCACACTGTTTCGATTCGGGATCAAAGTAAGTTAAATACAAATTTATTCACATTTAAATCTGGAAAATAAACAATCTAACAGAGCCAATGTTTACAGAAAACATTCTGATTATATTATCAAAATTGGAGGCCGTAAAAGAAACGAAGGAAGGAATTATGGAGTTTCAAAGATTACAATTCATCCTAGATACAGAATTGGGCAATATTACAATGACATCGCTATATTAAAGTTAAACTCGTCTATTCTCAATGTTACTCCGGTTCTCATGCCTTCAAGAAAAAATCGATACAATGGAAAAATTGCAACTGTTATTGGTTGGGGAGATACTTCATACGGCAAGTCATCGAATTGTTTTCGTTATTTTTTAAGAATATAATAATAGAAATTAAAATAAATTGCAATTATTATAGGGGGACGTCCTGCCGAATCACTTCAGCAAGCTGCGATAAGAGTGATACCAAATAATCAATGTAATGCTTCTTACTCTCGATTAAAGATATCTTCATTACCTAAAGGGATTACATCAGAATTTTTGTGTGCAGGGATCAGTACGGGAGGGAAAGATGCCTGTCAGGTATCTTGATTAATTTCTATATTCTAAAATACTAATAAATCAAAATTTACATAATGTTATATTATCTTACAGGGTGATTCTGGTGGACCTCTTGTAACGTCTTCATCTTCTGGGTATAGAATCATCGGTATAGTTTCTTTCGGTTATCAGTGTGCTAAACCTGGATTTCCTGGTGTATATACAAGAGTATCAAACTATTTGAAGTGGATATCTGATAACACTAAATAAAAGAATGGTTTAAGCTTGTATCGATACAATTTTATTTATTGTCAAAGTAAATATTACCTGTAATTATACAATGATGTATAATGATAACAATACGTATATACGTATGATTTGCGAGATGTTAAATTATATTTTTTTCTAGAATACAAAAATAAATAAATGTGATTAAACGTTTTCTTTTATAATATTGAGAGGGCCCGGACTTTATAAAAAATTTTTTTGAATAAGATTTTTCGAAGAAAAAAGGAACCTAATAAAATAACGTTAAAAATTCTTCTCAACACATAAAAATGTTAAAGGATGTGATTGCCTCTTTTTCTGGATTCACTTCCTTTCAAAGGTGACACATCTTACAGGAACTTCACGACAGAAATTCATCTATTGGTCGCAAAACCTAACGTTTCCAAAGATGGGCATGGGAAAAAAGGAAGGATCCCCAAAAATAATAGAACAGATGACGATAACGAGAGTTTGCCGATCAACCTTGTTCCACTTTCGTGTCAGTGTATTCTAACCGTGTTCTGTTACCGATCCTCGTGGCAGGAAGAATGGGACAGTTGCACCACGAGTAGACAAACCCACAGTTTCATACCAAGTATTGTTCATCGCCTTGAATGGAGAAACTTCACCTCATCCTTTTCCATGACTCAGATCTTAACTGGTCATGACAATTTTAATGCCCTACCTTAAGAGATTTCATATTCGTGACTCCGAAGTGTGCTACTGTGACAACGTCTCTCGACAGGACACTAATCACTTCCTATTTGACTGTGCTCTCTTCAACACAGAAAGGGCAAATCTCATTATGTTCGTGCTAAACGAAGGATTCAATTGGTCTTGTTCACTGTGCACCATCATAGACAATAAAAACATTTACAAGGCTCTTGAAAAATTCATCAACGAAACCAAGGCTCTTTTCCCTCCAAGATAACAGAAACGATGTTGGAAACTAAGGCTTCAGCTGTGAAACTAAGTGTTAAACGGGAAGCGATCTGGTTACATTTATTTTATAATTGTTACTAAGCGGTGTGTGTAATGTGAACAAACTGTTGATTTCGGCAAGCATATAATTTTTTGTTCCTCTTTATTAGTGGTTTATGTCGTTAATGCTTTGCAATCAATGTATAGTTTCTGGTAAATATAGTATCATCCTTAGTTGTATATCTTTAATTTTAACGTCAACCAAATGGTTGTTGCACGGTAAATTAGAAATACGTTATAAAATCCAGAATTGCCTTGTCGGTCACTAACCACTTTTGGAATAGTCTTAATACCCCAATCGGAAGTATCATATATAATATACATTGTATCCATGTTTTCATTTTCCTTATGTACAGTACATAACCATTCCTGATATTGTCATAATTTCGTTACCTAAGTTCGGTGCATTATTTCATTTATTTTGTAGTGATGTAATAGTGATTTCTTTTTGTATTTGACCAAACAAGTGGTTTGGTCTTCACCGGTCGAATGCATCTACATATTTATTGTAAATACGTTATAATGTTCTCTATTTATATTTGTTCAAACTGTATTAGTCATTATTTGTTGTCACCTGCGTTACGTGCATATTGTATATAATTTGTACAGTACATATGTTTTCTGTTTTGTACTTAATAAACTACCGATGCAGTGCCCTATGATCCTATCATCACCCTGCCCTCCTTTTAATCACTTATCTTCTTCTCTCTTCCTCTTCTTTCACCATCTTTTCAAACTCCTAGTTGTACCTTTGAGTGGAACCAGGAGGCAGCCCCTTCTTTCAACTAAAATGTAAAATGTTACCGATCCTTTTGACTGCCCTCCGTTTTCCGTAGACGCCCTTAACGCAACATAAGAGCAATACGCTAGGAGGGAGTGCCCCAGGCACTCCCTCTTAGCATATTGCTCGTACTGTATGTTGCGTTAGCTTACTGCATCAATCCGTGAGAACTATGGGAAATTGACCACTATGTGGATGAAGAAAACCGAAAAATCTCTACTGTTGGTCAGGCGTGAACCCGCGACTAACTACTACTGTTCATTGCTTTTATTTACTTTTATTTATGATCTGTACTCTAGTTAAGGTAGTATTGCATCGGATATAAATATAGTACTGTATAGTAAATAAACGGTTAATTGTACAGTACAGTACAGTACATATAGGATTGTGTAATTGTGGATTATAAATGAACTATACTGTAAGGAGAATCCTATTATCAATCTATTCTCGAATGGATAATAGAGTTTCTACTTAATATATACGCCCTGTCATCGTTAGAAATCATTTAAATAACTTATTTATTGTAATAAGAAATAAACCAGACTTGATAAAATATAAAATTTATTTTAAATTAAATAAAAATATTTATGATTTAATGTTATCATATATCCATTGTAAATAGTTTGATACTCTTGTATATACACCCGGAAATCCTGGTTTAGCACATTGGTAACCGAAAGAAACTATACCGATGATTTTCCAACCTGAAGGGGAAGCCATCATAAGAGGACCACCAGAATCACCCTATAAAAGAACACAACATGATTTGCATCATTATAAATTTTTTGGATATTAAAGAACATAAAAATATGTTAACATACCACGCAGGCGTCTTTTCCTCCCCAACTGATTCCTGCACATAAAAATCCTGACGTGATTCCTCTAGGTATTGACGAGTCCTTTAATCGGGTGTAAGAAGCATTACATTGATGGTTAGGTATGACATTTATTGTAGCTTCCTGAAGTGCATCAGCAGGACGTCCATCTGTAATAGTTATAATCTTAACTATAAATTATCATAAGCTTGAAAAATCTCAACAAAAATTAATATAATTTAGTAACTTACTGTATGACGTATCCCCCCAACCGATAACTGTTACAGTTTTCCCATCGTAACGTTCATTGTTTAAAGGCAAACAGATGGGAGTAACGTTGGGAATGGGCGAATTTAGCTTTAATATAGCAATGTCATTATAATATTGCCCAGTTTTGTAGTGAGGATGAATTACAATCTTTGAAATTCCACAATTCCTTCCTTCGCTTCTTTTATGGCCTCCAACTCTAACGATATAATCAGAAGTTCTTCTAATAATTAAAGGTTCTGTTAGTATCTATTTTCAAAGCTTAAACGTAATTAAATTTATACAGTATTTAACTTACTTAGACCACGAATCGAAACAATGTGCAGCTGTTAAGATATACTTGTCTGTAATAATGGAGCCACCACATTGATAATTAAAGCTTCTCCTACCTCTTTTGTGTAGCGATACCTGAAAAATTAATTTAAACATATACAAGTATTTAATATTAGTTTTAAAATATAAATATATTGTAATGAAAATAAATTGTTTACCATCCAAGGCCAAGAAAGTATACTTGTGGTTTTCCCTCCAACAACCTCCGTTATTGATAATTCTCTTTTTAATATAGGTTTTGAATAGCGTATATTACGTTCACTTCCTGTAAAATGTATAAACATTCAATACAGCTACATACTCTGCCTTCGTATGAATTAATATATATATTTATTTATTTCGTACTTGTTTAATTAAAAATTTCATTTAATTAAAATATCAGCCTCACTGGGAACCGATATTGAGAACTTCAAACTCACATACATCCAGTACACTGGTAGTGAAGCTGGTGTATACTGGTAATAGACTAGAATCGTAGAATGCACTACAATACACTAGAACACTAGTAGTAAAACTGAATAGAGTACATTTGTAAAAGAAACGCTGGGGTATTGAAACTGGTGTATACTGGTAGTAGACTAGAATGTAGTAGAACACTAGAACACTTGTATTGTACTTCATCCAGTTTCATTACATGTATAAAAGGAGCTTTGTCAATTCAATTTTTTTTCCTTTTTTTTTTATTTATTTACGCAGATAAGGAGACGAGGATCGCCTGGCTCCCCTGTTATTATTTTATATATATNAACTTGTGTTGAGTCAGTCCGTGTCATCGCTATTCCTTCTCCCACATAAACATCCTGTTCTCTCGAGTTTCTAATACATTCCTGTGGGTGCCTAGACATAAGAAAATGGTGTTTATATACTAATCGTATTGAGTTGAATAGTATACTCTATTGGGTACTCTATTTTTCAATAGGGCCCTTTATCTTTTATATTCCTTGACATAAAACAAATAAATAATATTTTTATGGAAAGGAATAACAGGAAACTGTTAATCTCCAATTGACACTTACCATCCTTTATAATTATTAACATACAAACATATTTATTTTTGAATTATCAAGCTTTATATTATCATTTTTAGTAAGATAATTAGGAGAAAACCTTATAAATAAATGAAAAATAAATTGTCTCGTCCATCGAAAATAAAAAGGGGGTTTGTGCATGAATGAGTCATACTTGAAAGCTATCTTATAACCTTGAATTGTGTCTAGTAAACCAGAAAAGTTTAAGTCTAATATAAGATATTTACTTATTTAACAAAGAAAAAATTAAAGTTAATATAATAATAACTGACCTTTATCCGACAGTAAAGTTTCAGAAACCATCTGTTGATATTTTAATGGAGAATCATTAACNATGTAATTTTTTTTTTAATTAAAAAATTTGCAAATGATGCTGCAACAGAGTGAACCTCTGTTGCAAAATAAAAATGACATTATTAAAGTAAGTCATTGACTCTTATCAATGAAACTTTAAATAAATTTTTAATAAAATGAGTTATTATTATAATAAATTTTACTTTCCCGGTTGTTATATATAACAGAGGAAAAGTGTGGCAATCGGTCAAAAATGAACCCCCAAGATTTTTACATTTTTTTGGACTCAAAGGACTTTGAAATGTCGAGAAATTCAAAATATTCGAGAGAGTTTCATCTATATATACGGACTTTTTTGTTCACCCCTTTTTAAACTTTATAATTCACGTGATTTGTGTATTAAGGGGATTAATTCTATTAAATTTTGTTGGTTAAAGGACAATGAATGGGGAAATATAAGGATTCACTTTACATGTAAACAAGTGTTTCTCATTAAATAAAGGTGATTCACAATTTCAAGTAAATTTTTATTAAGTCCTACTCCACTCGAGAGCGACACATAAACTCCCCACTTCCACGAGTTCTTTACTCCACAATTTTATAGCATCAATGCCCCTTATATACAAAATACCATGCCAAATTCCGTTTATTAATTAGTAAACAGTGTAATCAGACTTATAATAAAATTCGCTTTGGTATTTTGCTTTCAATACATAATTAATTAATACCCAGATAGATGCTTCTTAATTTTCTCAATAACACCTTAAATTGCTGAGATACTTTATTTAATTGTTATGAAACAATGAGAAGTGGTTTTAGTAATAATTAATTGTAATATAAATGGTTAACGAATAAAGTGAGATCGTCCGTAACCTCAGCCATACTATTTTACTATTTTTATTAATCATTAAATTGCTCTTATTCAAAAGAAACGATCGTCTAGATAGGCTCGATAGATGTAATTCGGCAAATCAATCAATGAAATGGCCAACAGTGATCAAATGGGTAAAGGCCACAGTGCGGCTTTTCGCGTGAAGTTCTCCAGGATTTCTTCACGTGCCTAACATTTAAATGTGGGCAATTTTCGCGTGAGAGCTGGACTTGACGAAATTTTTGAGAGAAAATTTTTCGTCTTTCGAGAGTTAAATTCGTTCAAACCCCAGCGAAAATAAAATTTTCAATTTAATTACCGGAGGATGATCGCAACTCTCTCCCCGGAGTCACTTCCTTTCCCAGAGGACTCATCGAATGTGTCACAGGGAACTAACTACAAATATTCACTATTGGTGGTAACATAGCTAAAAAGAGGGCATCGAAACCAAAGGGAAAGGACCCCCGAGATTAAAAAAGATTGAATCGGGGACCAGAAGGTCGTCGAGAGTCCGACAGTTCGCCGATCTAACTCCTTTTCCACCGATTCCTCGACCGCCGTTTCTGTCCATTGGTATCATTCTCCGATCCTGACAAGCTGATATAAACAGCCAAAGTTCCCTCAGCGATCCAGGACCATCCGTTTATCAAGCGATCTACGATCTTCGACATACGACCTCGACAATCAACCACCAATCAAGGTATTTCGCATCGCGCGTAATATTGTAAACTCTATCAGACGATTGTAGAGACAGAGTTTACGTTAAACGACGTTTAACAGCCGAACCACGTGTAGACGTTAACTGGCTGAACCGCGGTTTAAAATGTCGCTCGTCTATTTCTGAACGCCATCTAAACAAACCTGGTCAGAACGTTGGCTATTACTTTCTTTGTTGTTATTCCCCTCTCTCGGGAGTCGTTTAACCAGTCAGGTCATTCGTTTATGACGTCAGAAAAATGGCGACGAACAACGTGTTTAAATAACGCCGGAATTTTTCCGAAGAAGAAAAAGTGTCCTGGCGGAAATTATAAAATATTAACCTACAGTTGAGGAGAAAGATTACAACAATCGTATTCTGGAGATGAAAAAAACCGCATGGGAAATGATACAAAACGAATTTTCTTCCTCGTTTCCTTGTCGGTCTGCTCGAAGCAAGACCTTATTCTCATTCGTTAAAAAGACCTGATTCTTATTATAAACGTCTCTATTACTATATAAAGAACTTTTTAAATTTATTTAATGGTAGTTTGATAGATACCTGCGTACAGTAGAGACGTTAACTCTGATAAGATCACCCGCTACCCTCCGGTGGCATAAAATCGTAATGCCGTCAACAACTGTTGTTCGGTAGTTAATGGCAAACCTTTTCCATCTAAATGCTTAATTTCCTCGCCAATACGATTTAAAATACGAACAAATCCAGATTTAGAAAATCTACACCAAATTCGAAATTCGTCTTCGAAATAAATTTCTAAAGGATTATTCCGATCTCGTATTAATCTCTCTCTCTCTCTTCGTAATTGTCGAGATGAATAATTTTCTTGATTCGTCCCATTTGCAATATTTATTAAATGAACAATATCTATTATAATACAAACTTTGCAACCAACAAATAAATATGGCGACTTCTACTCAAGTAAAACGGTGCTATCGAGGGAGTCTAGAAAGTAGGTCAAATAACTTGTTTCTAATCACTGTCTAAACTGTGGCAAGGGAGAAACGCCGTATCTGCAATGAAATTTTTCTGAACCGCGGTCTACACGATCAATAAATCGTTATCGGCGTCTAAACGTTGTCTCTGCAATCGGCTGCAAGTGTTTACATACGCGCAAAATCGGAACAGCATCCAACAAGGTTTCCATATCTGCCTTAAAGGATACAGTGGTGTCAGTCCTGACATAGGCATCACCGGTCTGGTGCCGACCTGTAGTCACATTCGTATAAAAGTCCTTCCTTGGTAAAACACCCATGTGTTGCTTTACCTTAATGATGAATCCAATTCAATCCAATTAATATATTCAAATGAATTTGAAGGCCAGATGACTAAGGCAGAAAATGGACAAGCTTCTGCAGGACTTAATTTTAAGTTCGAATTTGATTTTCAGAAATATTCATGAGTACGTTGACTTGGATGTTTCAGGGCTCGTTACAGACTATTGGCTATTACCATTTTGAATTTGGTCGAACTCACGATAGGCATGGTAAAAATATTAAGTTTTTGGTGCTTTTAGATCGAAACGATTTAAAATTAAAAATTACGAGCTTATAATTTGTACCGGTATAAAAATTATATATTATACAATAATTATATAATTTAAAAATTAAATTACTGTATTTGAAATTTTAAAATAATCGGAAAGGAAATTTAATGATGTAGACTATGAAATTTAAGATTTTGAATGTGATTTTTATGTACCCAAGGAATTACAGAATTCAAGTTTAAAATCCATTATCGAACTTGTATCAAATGATCAATGGTAAAACTTACCTACCTTTGAGAGAGCTTGATTCCGATTTCCTTTATTTATTAATGGTTAATTGCCATTGTTCATCCATGTTGGAGAATCTCATTGAGAATTAAATGCCAAAATGTACCCTTTATCTGCTGGTAATATGCATTGTACACGGGTGTGTAATTAAAAATATATTAATTCAAAAACTAGATTTAATTTTGTAGATTGTAGAGGGTTTACAAAGAGTCTACTCAGTACTGATGCTTGAAAGATCTCTTGAAGGCCACCAGCAAACGCGGTGAGTCACTTACCTGAAGATAAACGTAGCAGTCACAGTTTCTTCAATCAGTAGCCATGCAATGCAGGATCTCAAGAGGACAGCATTCTGTCGACAGTGCTCATGAAAATTCAGGCAGTCGTAGCGTGAATTTAATTAATGTTGGAAAACCAGATCATTATGTTTAATAGGTGAGATTAAGTAAATAAAGTAATTCTAAGGTAATTGGATAACATTCTTCAAAAAATAATAAGGGGCACGTGTTTTGGTCCCATCGCATCTGCATCCATATTCTCAAAATCCTAATTAAGCCGCTGAAAAGTTTCATATTGTATTATTATGTATATATATTGTTGTGCTTAGCATTTTACATAGAGTTTTTAAGTGCACAAGAGTATTGAAATAGTTTTATTCTTAAACGAATAAAAGCCTTATTTAAAAAACGTTACAACAATCACACACGTTTTTATATAAATTATGCGACAAAAACATTAATTAAAAAATAATGTTAAAGAACACCATTATCTTTTAATACTTTTTCGTATACAAGAGGACAATTAGATCGTATCGCTTGTTCATAAGCACTTCCTGATCCTATTCTTAATTTTTCTTTGGAACTCAAAAAATTCCACGTATGAATGAGGTAACTGTATTTCATCTTCAGATTAACTTTAACCTTAGACGATTTGTTGAAATAATCTCTCCACTCTTTGTAAGGAACCGGAAAAGCAGAATTTACAGGCAATATCTTAATATTGCAACTTTCTTCTTCTTTTATCTTCTTGCTGTCTCCACACATGGTCTTGAAAATTGCAGTGAACATCGGTGGACCTCCACAACCGAAAGAATTGTTGCTTTTCTTACATTGCTTACCCAAATTATACATACAATTAACTATAAATGGATGGTTATTATCGAAACCAAAGATTCCATTACATAAATCTTCTTCGCTTTGTTTTATGAGGAAATTTCTTAACCCCAACATTGATTTTAGCATAACAATGTCTAAGTCTAGATAAATTCCACCAAATTTCCATATGAGAGCCAGTCGCGAAGAGTCGCTTAAGTGTAATAACGAATTACTACTGTTCTTCCACAATCCTTCTTCGTACCATTCTTCTAATGGAGTGTCCGTAAACACGTCCTCAACGTTTGTTTGAAGAAAGGCGATATTAGGAAAAGATTTATTTAATCCGTAATGATCTTGTATTGAATCTATTGTAAACATGATCACTTGTATTTTTGACCAAGAATTATGTCTTGCTGTTGACTCCACCGCGCAAGCTTGGCGATCATTCAGAAAATTCCTACCGGATGTTTCGATAAAAAAAATGTAAGGTGAAGACTTATTGGTTAATGGAAGTTCTGAATCGTAGGCCACAATAATTACGTCATCTAAAAGAAAAAATTATGATCCTCAATTAAAATGGTACTGTAATATTAAAAACAATGAAATGCTTATGTGGATGACATATATTAATAGTTTCCTCCGTATAGGCATAAAAGAGAGTTTCAGGTCCATCGTGGAATTAATTTAGCGGCAATGGACAGCGGCCGACGTATCTGAGTCGGTCCACTCCCCGAAACCCAGGAAGTAGGGCTATTTTGACCACCAGAATTCGATCTCGGATCCCCGAGTGATGGGCTATAAAAATCTGTACAGTAATGGGTTCTGTATGTATGGTGTAAGTATGGGTGCACAATTTTGTTCAGTCACTTTGATGCTTAACAACTCTTGGACCTTTTGTCAAAAATTTTTGAAATTTTGTAGGAAGATTTATGTATTAGAGGGTTTGATGCTATTAAACTTTGGTGGTTAAAGGTCCAGGGGTTGGGGAGATAGAGAGAGTGTTGTCATATCTCGAGTAAGTTTGGAAATTAAGCTTTTTGCCAATTTGTAATAATTAATAATATAAAACCTTTTAAAAATAAAATCTCGTAACAGATGGCTTCACACACAATTTTAAGTTTTTATACTGGAAATTTGTAAATGCTAATAAGAAAAAGTTTCGTTAAGTCCGATACTAGTCGAGATATGAAACGTGACCACACTCTATCTTTCCACCCCCTCGACCTTTAATCACAAAATTTAACAGCATAAAAGCTCATAATATACAAACTTCCCTGAAAATTTTCGTAAATTTTCGTCAAAGAGAACAGGAGTTATTAAGATTCAAAATGGGTAAACAAAATTGTGCCCCCCCAAATACATACAAAAATTACCCCCGAATTTTTTCGCAGTTCTCGACGTTTGAAGTCCAAAAAAATGTAAAAATCTTGAAGGTCATTTTCCATCGCCCTTGTTGTATGTAACAGCCGGAAGTGAATAAATTACACACGTCATTAATTTAATAAAAAAATAAAATAAAATAAAATAATGTATCCTACCTCCTGAACTATAGAAAATTAAAATTCCTAAAGACGTGAATAAAGTTAAAATAACGATGAAAAATTTCCAATAATTTTTCATTTTCAAACAGCACACCCTGAAAAAATAAATAAATAAATAACTCTTTGTAAATCCTTGCATATAATTTCACTAATTACTATTAAAATTAAACTTCGACTTGTCAATTGGAGTTTAACAATACAAAATAAAGATTCTATTGAGCATTAAGATGGATTGAAACACTATTTAATTATGCACGCGAACTCCGGAAATGGCGTTAAAAGTTTATTTGTACTGTACTACATTATCAATATTATTATGTTATTTGTATATGTAGTATCTACGAAAGGGTGCCAAAAAATGGCATTTGCACTGACAGCTCTGTGTATATGCATCTTGATTGAATTTGATAGGCCCTGTGTGGGCATACATACGTATATTTATGTAATATCTCGGTTCTTACAGTAGTCCCATTTTCAGAGATAAATTCTAAGCACCCCCTGCAAATGCTAGTAACATTAGATAATATCAAGCCCTATATATGTTTTTAAATATAAATACCTATAACACATTGATTGTGAATAAAATTGTTTATTCAATGAAAGAACATAATAGAATATAATGTAGGCATTTTTCATTAGAAAGTATTGTGTAAACGACGGCTGAATCATACAGCACATCACATTACTAATGCTAAATAAAGACCCACAAATGTGAATAAAAATGTTAGTTTGGTCGCGGGTTCGTGCCTAACTAATGGGTTTTTCTTCGTGTGTCTAACACGTAAGTAGGGATCAGTTTCTTTTAGAAAGTCTTCGCGGGAGATGCAGATATCCCTTTGAGATATTGCCTGAATGACCTTCAAGAGAGCCTTAAATTAATATTCTTTTATTAATTTAAGTTAATTAATTAATATAAAAATTAAACTTTATTCTTTATTTTTTGTTAATTTATTCGTTATAAATGCAAAATTCCCCACGTTTTCTATCAATTTTAATAAGTTCTTTTACTCTGTTTTCAGTTATAAAAGTGTAAATGTGTCAAAAATATATCAAAATTTGCATCGAATTAAACATTAAAAAATTAATTTTAATTAAACTATGCAAATTTCAAATATAAAACAGCACGTTAAAGTAAAACAAAGAAGGAAACACGCTTTAGAAAGAGTTATAAAAATTCTTTAATTTAAAAAAGCTAAAAATTTTAATTTAAAAATTAATTAAAGTGATAACTTTCTTACATTTTCCTATAGAATTTCGACTTTATATTCAAATTTTCTAGTTAAAAATAATGAAAACCGACAGACAAACTGATGGCCGCTCATAACACTTTTCATAACAAAGTGAATCAAGAGTTTTTAATCTTAAACAAAGTAACATTAATGGGTTCATTCAACATGAATTCAGACTCTCATTCATCCGTCTGGCTCCATTAATGTGACCTTAAGTGAGACTTTCTGGCTGTATAGGATCGTAGACATTTAACAACTCTTTTTTCACATTAAACAAACTCTTATATATTCTAAAAACGAAAAATCCTATAAATTCGAGTCAAATATTGACTTACGACACGAATTAACAGCTTATAATTCGAAAATTTCCCACATTTAATCGAATAAAAAGCATCGAAATTACAGAATTTAAGCTTTAATTAAGATTAATTTATTTGAAAACCCTTTTATCAGGGACAGATTCTCACATAATTCAAATAATCTGCAGCTTAGAGCCTCACATTTTTACGTGCCTCATTGTTTAGTGAAAAGGAAAGGCTTATTATATGTTATAGATCAAGGCTACAACTGATCTGAGTCATGACCTACCCTTTATAGAAACATTTAAGAATTAATAGAGTTATAATTTGATATAGGCCTATATTTAACAATGATGTATCGAATTATATATGTAATTTAAACCGCTTATGAAAGCTCACCTTGATTGTCATTCCTGTTGACCTACTTGTTAACGTTGAATTCGTGGATTTATTCCATATTCTGTGTCATCGAAAGGAAGCCACAATGCTTACTAATTCGTCTAGTAACAGGGAATAAAGAAATGTCTAATGTTAACTCACTCGTCCACTAACCTCAGTGGTTGTCCTTCCACCAAACTCGTTTACATATGTTACTAGATATGACATCATTAACAGAGGATGCTGCCCTCATCCAATTACTGTTGGAAGGTTCGACTGTGTTTCCACAGTCGAACCTCCCAACAACGGACACCTTTAAATTGCGGCCATCTTTTTAAGGAACGTTTTCTCTTGAAATTCATATAAATTAACCTCCTAACAAAGGCCAATTGTTATAATTTCGTCGGTTACAGATGGTCTTTATTAAAGGTTCGATTGTATTCTTCCATTTTAATTATATTATAATTCTTCCTGTATTTAAACAGTACTTAAAAACAACATTTTAATTCATATAATTCTAAAAATTAAGCATTTTTTGGATATAATTATGCTAACAATTTAATTTAAGAATGTGTTAAGTTACCAATTATAAATTTAGTTACATAAATTTATTAGGAAATTAGATGTAAAAATTAAAGTATAATATGTGTTTCTAAATGGAATTTTTACTTAAAAATAATCAAGGTAAATTCCTTATTTTATATTCGACTGTCCTTCAATTGACTTCTTCCTTTAAGGACATTTACCGTCATCATATAAATAACTAAATCAAGGTTAAAACTGCTGAATACTTAAATGTAAAAATTTTAAAAATAAATATCTTTACGTGTCTGACACCTAAACAGTAGCCAGTTAGTGGTGAAGTAACGGTTAGAACAATACGTTGTAGAACAAATGATCATTATTATAAATAATAACAAGTATACATTGTTTACACCCCTACCACGTACAGTACAGTACATTTACGCAAACTTTTATATAGATTTTATCTAGTATCGGAGTAGGGAGGATGATATAGGGTAGGGCCAACCCTTAAAACATCATTAAAATGCATTATCATCGATTAGATAAGTCCTCAAAGATCAACCTTCTATCTTAATTAGAAGTGGAGGAAATCGATAGCTCAGGGATACTTTCTACGGGAAATTGGCCCTTATTTAGGTGTTATACACTCGAGTTTTCTTCACTACGTGAAGTAAAAAGTTAATTTTATAGGGATAGGAACCATTACGTGTCTCAAGTTTTTTCTGGAAGTGGAGAAAAATCCCCATCTTCCCTCCGATTTGAAGATCCTGACAAAGGAAGTTGATTAAGTTTCCGTGCTAAAAAAGGATTTTATAAGATAACATTAAGCGTAAATTATCGTAAAGGTAAGTACTAAATAGGCTGCACTAGTGTCTGATTTGTACAGGCCAGTTAGAGATTTTTCCTAGGACAGAGGAAAACTTAGTGGTCCTCAGTGATTCCTACCCCTAAAAGAAACTAATGGGATTTTTACTAAAAGAAAATAACATCTTTAAGGCTGTTTTTTTATTTCGTTTGTTTAAAGAACAAAAGGAACCCACGATTAACATAGAAAAAGCCAAAGAAGGTTACCCAATAGCTAAATTTGGATGCTGATATATCCAACAGAACAGTACACTATATCAGATAAATTATCCAATTTCTAATAAAAAAAATCATGTTAATAGTATTTTAAAAGCTTAAATCGAATCACCATCTTTAAAATAATAACTAGTATGTCAATTTTCAATGAAGGAAAACATTCAAAAAGACATCTAAATTTTTTTCTTAGGGGATCATGTTTCGAATTCGTGCCTTTTGTCATAACATAACTCCCGTGCCTTTCGTCGAAAATTTATGAAATTTTGCAGGATAGTTTGCGTATTAGGGCCACCGATACTGTTAAATTTTGGTGGTTAAAGGTTGAAGGGGTGGAGAGATAAATGCGTACTTGTGTCGTATCTCCAGTGAGATCAGACTTAATGACGATTTTACTCGTTATTATCATTTATATTTAAATATAAAACTCATCTCTATATTTTCAAAATTAAGCTTTTTGTCATTTTATAATAATTAATAGTATAAATTTTTTAAAAATAATATGAGAAAATATGATAAATTTATCTTACAATAACTAATTTTCTACCTTTAAAATTAAACGTATTTTGTCCCTTTACCATATTTTAAGGGACTAAAATTTCTAGTTACGCCATTATTTTCATATAATGGAGCTACTTAATATACTAATTACTAAATGATTTTCTGTTTTTGTAGTAGGTGTACAGTACACAAGAGCCGTCATTCACGCGAATCGAATGTGCTCTGAGGCGCAAAGAACGTTGGATAAAGTTTTGATAGAGAATTGTTAGTTTGCTAGAGTATAATCTGGAATATTTTTTTATATATTAACTATATAAATACGTGCTTTATAAGTATAATAATAAAAAAATTCAAATAATACCATCAGGCATATCACGTATAACTTATTTCATTGTCAAGATTATCAAGGTCAAGGTCATGTAACATTCTAGCATTTCACTTTTTCTAATGACAATAATGGGTTTATTAAATTCAAATTTCAGTTTTAAAAATATTTAATTTCTTATAAAGTTTATAGGAAAATATTTTATTGAAAATAAATAAGAAAATGGTGTTATATACTNCCTCCACCAACAGGGGACCTCAAACCAATAATTTATAATCTCATTTAATTAATGAAGCAATAATACAGAAATTTAAATTTGAGCCGTATCTGAAGACACTAGATTGACGATGTACCGCGGCAAAGGACTTTAGTTGTTAATTGGTTATTGTTTGTATTCGTCGATAGTTTTTAGAGGAAAATATGTTAAAAAAATCAATGTTCTATTAATCAGCCAGAGGACAAAGAACAGTTTGTTTGTCGGTCTGCGTGTGTATGGGAATTTAATTAAAAAATAAGTGGGGAAAAAACGGAGTTAAACTCACCTTTCGTCTCGATATTTATCACAGCTAGTAACAGTAGGACCAGTAACAATTTCATGACAAATTTTAAATAATTTAAATGATAGCAATGATACAATTATTGACGATCACTCCAATCAAGTATCTGTCGTGTCTGTAAACCTGTTTTGACAATTCCCTTTTTATAAATGTAAGTATTACGTAGAAGAATTAAGTATTGCAAAATCAATGTGTGTTTTTTTTTTAATAACAAGAAACGTTTTAAATCCTCTTTCAGAGGTTTCTAGAAATTTCAGAAATTCTGTCAGATCATATTTTAAAAAATTTAGCAACGAGTTGCTTAACTTTTCCGGCAACATTTGGTGGCACCATCTGTTAACATGTTTTATTAATTAAGAAACCTTTTATATTTTTGACTATTAAACAGGGTAGGGACGAGTTTTATTAAAATTGTAAATGCTAATAACAAGTAAAATTTTCATTAAGTCTGACTCTAATAGAGATACACACGATTCCCTTTATCTCTCAACCTCTTCAACCTTTAACCTCCAAAATTTAAAGGCATCAATCATCTAATAAACAAACCTCGTTGAAAAATTTCTCCTGTTTTTTGTCAAAAATTTTTCGACAAAAAACACAGGAGTTATTAAACTCCTGTGCATTTCTCGACCTTTTAAGTTGTCCTAAGTCCAAAAATCTTGTGGGGTAATTTTTTTGACCTATCACCATACTTATACAATAGCCGGGAAAGTAAAAATGGCTTAAAAATACACTCATTTATAAAGTTGCGTATTTTTATAAATATCCAATAAATACAAAATTAATAAATTTATAAAATACAACATTGTCACTTCGCTGATAATTTATTGATTTAACANCAGAAAAGTTTAAGTCTAATATAAGATATTTACTTATTTAACAAAGAAAAAATTAAAGTTAATATAATAATAACTGACCTTTATCCGACAGTAAAGTTTCAGAAACCATCTGTTGATATTTTAATGGAGAATCATTAACATACTGCATGCACCAGTAAAATTCACCATGTAATATAAATAGCGGGCATTTATATATTGTAAAACTCCATCTAGTGTATTTATGATAAACTATTTCAGTCGCTCCCTCCTATCCTTTCTTTAAACACACCTGTGTTAACCTGTTTCCAGTCTAACGACACAGGAAACTGATAATGTACACAGTAATAGGCGTATCGGTGGGAATCATTAACCCTTAACTAATGTGAAACGGCTTTATATAATTTAAAGTTTCTAAATACTGTAAAGTATTGTTTAAATAGTTAAGATTTCATCTTATAGATTTATTAATTCTTAAATATCCGTTACCATTCGACGTCTTGAGAAAGGATTTATTCTCATTAATACGTATCTAAAATACCTATGTTAATGAAAATTTAATATAAATATGTTAGGCCCAACTGGGGGAACCGTGCCTTGGATTCAAGATAAGCGAGGAGGAGCCCAAAACCCCTAGAAACAAGTTGGGGCTCCAAACCTCAGGAAACGAGAGCCTCGTTATGCCCTGAAAATATTAATGAAAGTGGCTCTTCTTACGTGGTTTGGAGGAAGATGGCAACATAAAATAACTCCTGGTAGGATTTTCCATGGGAAACTGAACCCCTATTTACGTGTTATCATTAAAATAACCAAGAACCTCACGTGAAGGTGTTTGGTCAGGTGCGAATCCGCGACAGGTGTTGTTCAATGGTTTTAATCACTCTTCACTGGTGGTGATCTCTTCTTAATTGGAGAGGATACAAGCGAATTTATAATGTAAACACTCCTACCCCTTGTAAGGCATGGAAACGATTATTTGCATACTAACACACCCATATTACGTTAAGTAATTTATGGGCAGCCCTATGTTTATAAAACAAATAACAGTTTAAATTGATTGGCTACGGCGCGAGATGCTTGGGATGGAAAAAAAATAATATAATTTAACAATTTTAATTTAAAAATTACTTTAAAAAAGTAAAATTTTAACAGCAAAATATATATTCTAGATCTATAAGTTACTACCGTTCGTCCGTCTGTCTTCCCTTAATCTCAAGAAAGGAGTTACATATATGGTAAACGAAAAAATACAGAGGAGCTCAAACCAATCTTATGGGCAAAAAGGGCTTTTTTGCCCATGAGATAACGCGCCACCGTACAGTTTATATAGAAATAATATAAATGCAATGCTAAATTATTATACAAAATACACTATATATTAATAAATTTAAAGGTAGATGGATTCCGAGGAATCCCTATGTAGATCACTAACAGTTATGACAAGTCACAAATCATTACTATTCTTTGTTTATAACATATCAAATATGGATTAAACATTCCGTTCTGGAAGTTTTGACTTGAAGGAAGGTCGACGAAGGAAATTTGCAGGAAGAAATTGTTAGAAAATCGAGAAATAACAATTCGTGAACTCGAAACAAATGATAATGGGAATGTGCCATCGACATGTATTATTGAAACACTTCATCGACTTGAAATGATGGAAAAACATGTTAATTGAGTTCCGCATGCATTAAAGTAAAAAAATAAATTATTTTCCTAAAAAATTCACCGAAGAAAAGTGTCTGAAGTTAACACGTATGGAGCCCATAATTAAAATTTGACTGTAAGCCCACGAAGCCGGTTTCAACACTCTTACGTAAGAATTCACAACACACATCACTGAAAAAATTAAAGGTGTACATATTGAATGACATATATACATATCCTTATATATTCCCATTGCCATCCGTCTGTTTGTCTGTCCTTTCTTAATCTCGAGAACGGAGTTAGATATATAAAAAACGAGAAAAGGTATGGAAAGATTTAGAACAGGAAGCCCCCAATTAACTGTACACGAACGTCCACTTTGGACCGGAAATCACGTTATTTCAATTCAAAAATTTTCCCTAAAAGGTGTTAGATAGATGACTGGCATGACTCCATTGCTAACAGGAAAAGTATGATGTACAGGAGCAAGCAACTAATACTCCAAGGAATACTTATGATTACTTTTTATAATTCATTTATGAAATAAACATTCAGTTATCATATTCTAAAGACTATATTTTTATACAATTTAATGTCAGTTTATAAGCTTATAAGTCAAACCTGTACACAAATAAATTTAAATAAAGGTTATTAATTTAGATATATTACTTATAATAATAATATTTATATACTCGTATTAAACACTTGAATAAACAATGATGTCGTTTTATAAGCTTTTATTAAACAGTATTATTTATTAGTTAATTACTTAACTGTTGAATGGTGGTATTTTACCTTTTGTTTTTATTGTTTAATAATTCTTTCTATTTATGTATTAAGAGAGGTTAGGAGGAAACCTCTATGAAATCTCTAATTTAAGTATTGATACTGCCTACTTACTTAGTTATTTAGTCCCTATATGGATGCCCAGGAATATAACTAAGCTCTTTGTCACCCGGAGAAAACTAAGACACAAGTTCCTCCTATCTTGATTAGGAAATTTAAAAATTTGATAACTTGTGTTGAGTCAGTCCGTGTCATCGCTATTCCTTCTCCCACATAAACATCCTGTTTTCTCGAGTTTCTAATACATTCCTGTGGGTGCCTAGACTGGAATATGTACCTGAGAGTACCATCTTTATGCCGAGTTGGTAGGAACTCAGCAAGAATGGTTATTAGTGATTTGCTTATTGTTCGTATATTGCAATAATTGAGCACTAAGTTTTGGCTCTATCACATATTATTGACGGAGCCGGAGAAAACACACAGATCAACCAGTGTTTACCCATTTCTGTGATTTCTCCGCCTACGTCAATACTGTGTGTTAAGTCTTCCGTAGAGCCATAGATAAGTCTTCAATAGATTTAAAAATATACCGAGTCGAGAGTCGTGTATTTTTTCGCCGACTCTCCATCCCTGGTTTTGAATGCTTCCTCTCCTAGACGCTAAGGGAATAGGCTCCAGTACTATTATGAGTTCAGCACGGCCCATAATGACTGTGAGGGATAGGCCCTGACATATCCGGCTTCATCGAAAATTCCTGAGAAAATTTTAATCCGAACTCGAACTCAAATTTTCTACAGGCCAATGCCTTTACTTCCTCCTCCATTCGCCATCAATCTTTATAAAATGTCACGATAATTACATTCCAACGTAACAATAGACATATCCTTTGTTACGTCTACAGAAAGTGAGACGAATTAGAAGAATCAAATAAAAACGGTTGTGATGTCATATAGCTTGGCAACAGTTAACTTTCTGTTTCTGTATTCTGCTACATAAAAGTTAAAAGTTTTTCAACCGAATTCCCTGCGACTTGTCCGTTTATTTACTTGAAAACTTAACTCACTGCAAGAGAAAATAAGGCTATTTAAGGTAACATTTGATTAATCTGTAAGGAGGATACCAATCGGGAGGACTTTCTGTGGAAAAGTGGTTTCTGTTTAGATGTTATACACGTAGAGAAAACCCAATTTTTTAAATATAATTTACTATTAAGAGAGTTTTTAGTTTCCTTTCTTAATTAGCATCCTGGGTGGCCATACTCCCCTCTCTGTGGAATATATCAGATTATTAGTAAGCTACGTTTGTTCAGGAAATGCGGAGTTTCTCGCATTTCCTGAACAAATTATTATTATTTTTTTTTTAAATACAAATAATACATTTAAACTTTTAAAATACAATCATTTGTTTTACTTTGAAATTAATTTAATATGAGAGTTACTTGCGAAGAGCTAAGATATTATAATAGAAGTTATGTCACGCTCTGTTAGAAATAACAATTCATTTTATTCTTAAATCTTTTAAGACGATCTCTTAAATATATTATGACTTTCATTCATAGTTTGTAACAGTTTTAATAATATTTTTTTGGCAGTTTTATTGTATAATTTTATTTAAAAACTTGTTTTTAGATGGTTTGCTTTGTACCTATATTAAGAATAAATAACCGAGGAAACCATATAAGGCATTCATAGTCTGTTACAATTCGATACATATAAGTACTGTTTGTAATTCGCAGAATTTGAAGGAGGGTTTGCTGAGAAGGCAATAAAAATCCCAAAATGCATGTGTAATGAGATATTATTTGTTATATAAAGATCATGTACTGTACAGTACATCTGGGACATATGGAAGTGGCAACGAAACACACAGGAAGGCTTTCTATAGGAAAGTTACGGGAAAGTGGTCTTTATTTAGGTGTTATACACGTAAAGAAAACTAGGAAAACTCGATTTGACCAGTCAGTTGACTAGGCGCTAACATCAGTATTAAATCGTGGGGTCTTTTACATCTAGTGTTTTATACGTGAATAATTACGGTATAGTTAAGATATTTATATTAGTTTAAATAATAATTTTTTCTAATTTAATTTTGCAAAGTAGTAAAAAATTTACAGGAAATAGGCACCAGGTTTCCTAGATAACGTATGTGCACACTTCCTGAGGAAGTACGTGTATATATCATGAGGTTATTTTTCAGAAATACGATACTATTGTTAATCTTATTCTCCTGTATTTAGTTAGCATCATGTCGCATTTACGTACTCTACTAATAATTTTATTGAATGGTTTTTGTACCGCAAGATTCACCAAAGTTCATTTTGAAGCACCCAATCTTTCAAATTATCCTCGACTTCGTTTACTAGGTACTTTACCTACCCTGACCGAATTTACATTATGTTCCTGGATAAAATCGCCAAAGAATGGAACATTACTTTCGTATAGAACATCGACCTCTGATCGATTTCTTGTAACTATATCGGGTGCGAATGTAGAAACAACCATTGGATCAGAATCCATCAAGCTGAACTGTGAGAATTATAAAAAAGGATACTGGAATCATCTTTGCATCGTATGGACTGAACAAGATGGACGTCTGAGAATATTCATGAACGAAAAGATATGTGATGTGGCGAGTAGACCTCAGATTGCGTCTGGTGGACGTATTCACGAAGGTGGAACTTTAGTTATTGGCCAATATCAACATGATACAGATCTGAAATTTGATCCCGATCAAGCTTGGGTTGGTGATATCGCCATTCTTCGCCTTTGGGATGAGGTGTTAACATTTGAACAGATTGTAAAAGCTGGCAAGTGCAATGGACACCTAAAAGATGGAAATATAATTACTCTAATGAAGACTCCTATGAGTGCAATGGATGGAGTGATATTTTCGAAAACAGATCTATGCGAATAATATTTTTAACTTTATAATTTAGTGTCATAACCAGAGGCGCTTTATCCTATGGACGAGAAGGGCAATTGGGTTAACAAGGGAGCCATTAACAAGGGAACCAAACCAATCTTTCGTAAAGAAGATATTTTTGCCTCAAAAATGAACCCGAAGAACAGTGTCTGAAGTCAACACTGTATATGAGGCTCTCTAATTCAAATTCGTCTGGTCCTCCATAAAGCTATAACACGCCACTGGTCATAACGTTAGATTATTTAAGTTACAGTAGTTATATTGTAGCATTTAATAAGTATTCTACTCATATATATAAACCGTATGTATTATTTGACATAAAATTTAATAAAGTATTTCATTTGATTATAATAAATGCTGTAAAAATTTTGTCTTATTTAATTTCCCAATTAAAATTAATGCTTATTTCTATACTCTTTTCCTGTCATTATATATAAATCATATTCTGTAAGTCTTGCCAGAAGGCTTGGTCTTATGTAAAAATTATTTAATAAGATACCTTTTATGCATCTTCTTTAGGATGATGATTGATAATTTATAATTTTATTAATAATATGCAACAAGTTCACTCGTATGTTTCTAAATTGAAAGGCAGGAACATAGCAGATTGCTTTTATTAGCTTCTCCTGACACACAGAATACACAAAAATACTGAATGCAGTTTATATGATCCGTTAAAAAGAGTAAACTTCAATTAGTATAATAAAACATGTAAACATAATAACAGTATAATAGCATGTAAACATAAAACATGTAAAACATAAACATTATTAATGCAATTTTTAGAAGTAATTACAATGGTACCTCGTTACTCGAACCGTTCCGAACTCGAACAGACTTCTGGAACGAAAGTTCGAGTACCGAAATAAACTGAACTTTTTACTGTATAAGTTAAATAGTGTTTTATACTTTTAATTCTTATAAACTGAGCTAACTTAGCAGTTAAACTTTTAGGGAATAACACACTTCCTTTTTCCTGTCTACCTTTTATATATATGTTAATAAGTAAGTATAACATAGCTTTTTCCTTAACATATAGAATAGTTTCTTTCAGATAACATAAGACAAAGAAACCTATAAACCAAAACTTCTTATTAAAAGAAATCCAGCAAACGAGTTGCATAACTTTCCGGCAGCAACATTATGATATTTTATTTAAGTAAACGTTTTATATAAATAATTATCATAAAATGAAAAAAGAAAAGCTTAATTTTGAGAGCGATGAATTTTATAAAAATTGTAAATGCTAATAACGAGTAAAATCGTTATCAAGTCCGTCTCTACTGTGATATGCCACACGATCCGTCTCTATTTTCCCAACCCCTAGACTTTTAACCACTGAAATTTAACAGCATCAATCCCCTTAATACACGAATCTTCCTACATAATTTCAGAAATTTTCGACAAAAATCAGAGAAGTTATTAAGCTTCAAATTGGATGAACACAAAAACGTACTCTTCATACACTAACATTCATGCATACAGAAAAACCCCCGAATTTTTTGTATTTCTGATGTTTCAATGCGCTTTCAGTTCAAAAATAAAAAATCATGGAGGGGATGAGTGCCATGTTTACCTTTCTGTTATATATAACAGGGAAAAGTAAAAAAAGAAGTTAAATTTGAAGGTAATTAATGTTCTATATCAGTTTACTATCAATGTGCAATTCCAAATATAATATAGATTAATGTACATAAAACAAAAGAATTATATATATATATATATTTTTTTCTTTTTATTGATATACTCATCTCTAATTCTTGTGAGGAAGTATCACAGGAAATTTATATCTCATCCGGATACCAAACTGTATTTCCGTTTATTTTTCTAGATAAATTCATCAACAATTTATTTCGTATTATCATTTTTTACGATGTCTTCGTGTCTGGTGTTAATCCCTATTATCTTGATTGGATATTGCTTAGGTGGAGTGACTAAATTTTACTTTTTACCATCGAATAACTCTAATTATCCTCGACTTGTTTCAAGAGATAAATTACCAACGTTAAATGCTCTGACGCTATGTTCGTGGATAAGGCTACATTCTTCTAAGAACATGACATTAATTTCCTACAGCACTTCTGATACTAATGGATTTCATATTTCTTTACAGAATGGAAGGATCAAATTGATCATTGCAAACGAAACTATGAATTCAATGTGTTATTTTCCAAAAATTGGAACTTGGAGTTATCTATGTGTAGTGTGGTTTGGACCTACTGGATTTGTGAATATTTATTTAAATCATGAAAAGTGTGAGCATAGTTATCATACATTTCTAACTGCTGGCGAAATTATTCGAGGTGGAAAAAAATTTATTATTGGACAATATCGTGAAACACCAGATTCTAATTTTCATTCTAATCATTCCTGGGAGGGAGAAATTGCTAATTTTCGTGTCTGGAACGAAGTACTTTCGTACGAGCAGACGGTGGAAACTGGAAAATGCAATGGTAAGTATAGAGATGGAAACGTAATTTCCATGATGAAAACACCTATGATGGCATTTGATGGTGTCATTTTTTCTGAAACAAAATTATGTGAATTGAAATAGATTTTTAAAACATGATAAAGTTTAATATGAAAAATTAGGTTATAAAAATACTGTATTAAATTTAATATTAAACTTGTAATTTTATGTTCGTTTCGTAATAAAATAATAAATAAATAATTTTTATGATTTTAACTGTAATCTGTTATCATTTTTATTATATTATCGATGAAATATATTTTTAAAAAATACATCAATAAGTGGTGTAATTTTAAACGAAACAACACTTAAAACTGCTTCCGGCGTCATCTGTTATGATATTTTATTAAAAAAAAACGTTTATGTAATTTATTATTATATAATGGCAAAAGCTTAATTTTAAGCGTAAAAATGAGTTTTATAATAATAAAAAAAAATGGTAAATGTTAATAACGAGTAAAATCTTCATTAAGTTCGATCCCACACGACACTCTTCTATCTAAACACCACTCGAACTTTAATCACCAAAATTAAATAGAATTAATGCTCCTACTATGAATCTCGCTACAAATTTTCCGAAATTTTCGATAAAAGAAACAGGAGTTATTAATCTTTAAAGTAGTGGCATGCCTCTGTACATCATACTTTTCGTATTAATTAATAGTAACAATAGATTACTATTAATTATAGAAAACAAATAGAATGTAATGTATCAGAGTACATAAGAAGCAAACTTCTAAATTTAAATTCATATACGATTTTAGACACAAACTTGAATAGTATGAATATTACATTATACAAGTGTTATATGGCAACAAGAAAACCACAAGATATCGCATGTTATACGACAACGCGATTGTTTTATGTTGGTTCTACATTAATCTGAACTTTTGTCGAACAAAGTTATTCAAACCATGATAATACTGCTGATATGATTGGAGAATTTCTTCAATTGCAAAGAATGCCATTGATATCACGTGTTCTCAGACAGTAGTCAAGGCGCCTGTCTATTATTCTGGGAATCCATCAGTGACCAGTGGCTAATACCAACGATCACTGTGATAGTTCAGGCTGGCAAGGTAAAGTTTTAGGGAGTTTCTTTACGTGTTAAACACCTAAAAGGGACGTCTTCCCGTAAGAACTCAAGCTTCTACTTCAATTATTTTCCTCTAAGCTGTTATTGTTTCACAAAGACAATACGTTCCTTAAAAACAATCTTGATTATATCACGTCGCATTCGTTTCCTGCAAATTGGATTCACAAACGTCTGGTTGTACTGTAAATTATAATTATATCACTAACAATGCACGTGCTAATTATTCCAGTAATATAGATAAATACATAACTACGGTATAAGTAAACCATGTTCATCATTGCATAACATCCAGCATTTATTCACACATTACTGTTGAAATGACTAAAGTGATTTTATTCACTTGCAAATCTTTGGTTTCCTCGCATCTTGTATACCTTTCAAACTAGAAAAGAAAGAAATTCCACTATCCAGCATCTGAAAAACAATTTATTTTATCACAAACTTTATAGAATATAAATTTTCTGACATTTTATAACAATATATAAAGGATTTATCTATACTTACGCGAAGAAAAGATGCTTTTGTAAATACAAAATCTAAACATTCTAATCCGATTTGAGGTCCATCAAGTAATTTTAACGAACAAATTAACTAGAAATATCATTATAATTAAATTAATTTAATTAATAAATTTTAAAGACATTTTAATGAAATTAATACGTTCAAGAATTAAAGGCAAAAATACAGTTTGAATAATTTTAAATATACACTATATCAAATATATAACAATCGCTTAATATAACAATTTCGTTAAATAAACACTTCAAAATTAATATTTAATCTGACGTATTTGTTATTATTTGTTAACATAACATATAATCAATTTGATGATATGTTCTTTACCCACCAATAGCCTAATTGATAAAAAACCGCAGAACACTGGTAGTTCGTGGGTTCGCATCTCGCCAACGGGTTGGCCAAGTTTTCCTGATTTTCTTCGAGTTTGTAACATCGAAATAAATCAGATTCCAATAGAAAGTTGTCCCGGGAAGCAATCCCTTCTGCATATAACACACGTGTTGCGTTGTCATTAATAAATTAAATCACACCGTGATCGAATAGATAAAACCATTGTATGAAAATGAACACTAGCCGATTGCGGTTTGAAGCGAATTCGGAAGCACTAACATTTGTGGTGCGTTCGCCACTAACCTATGCGCTGGTTACGTGGAGTTTTCCGGATTTTAATTCATAATTTTTCATTTAAAATATCTGATATATTTGTTTCATAATATAATTGAAATTGACAGTGTGGTAGTGAGATGTCAGATCTTCAGTTTATAGAAGATATTTGTGGATTACAAATGTAGTGATTAGTTTTGCGTATTGCTTCAATGTTCATAATTTAAATTACTCTACTCTGAAGAAATTACTGTACATAAAATAATGTTCGTGAATATTATCAACTCCCCGAAAACTTTTAACGGCGGTGAGTCTGAGATAGATGGAATCGTCCTCTTTCAGGGCTCACGATGAGTATAAAAAAACCATTTTTAGCGCCCACAAGGCAAAAACAACTTAAAATTGCCGTCATTTAACAAAAAGCAGAAAAAATAATTTAGTAATTTAATTAAATTACGAACAATTTAATTAAGGTAGTTTTTATATTATCGACACTTACTTTTAATCTCTCCATGGCTGTCATGTTATAAAAACAAAATTTCCTTAGATTGATTAGCGGTGTTATCACCTAAAATTAAAAAAAGAAATGCTTAAAACTTAATATGAAATTAATATTAAATATAAATTAATATAAATTATTCCAGCGATATCAAAAGAACCGAACTTTAAACCTAGGGATTTTTCCTCGTTTTCGCATGAAATTCGGAAACGTTAGTGGCTCTTACCCCTAAAATATTAATGATATTTTTACCAACAAAAAATAAAATCTTTAAGACCACAATTAATTAACACAGACACGTTTAACGTATTTCATATTTTAAGAGGAAGCATGGCAAAAGAAACTCGCTACGGTGATTAATTAATTTCTAATTTTCTATGATTTAAGTTATATTTTCAAGGAAACAAACCACGTATAGTCAGACTTAAAATAAAAACAAACATTTAATTATGTAGCCTATATTGGGTATACACAATTGTGTACAAAGTTACTTGCTATTGTTAGCACTAGCCAAGCCTTGACAAACTACTACAAAATTAGTGAGGAGATTTCTCGACTAACGTAAGGAATTATCGAAGGAAATTGGATAATTAGATTTCCTTCAGAACTTTCTGAAAGCCACGAAAGACTGAATCAAAATGTTTCCCAATGAATCAGCAGATTAAAGATATTATTTTGCAAGAAGCAATGGACATCAGCGTCAAACACTCGTAACAGACTTTCACTTCTGGCTAATGAATGTAAACTACAACTAGGTAATCCCGAATCAAATCCGGCTGTGAAATCCCCTGAATTTATTACAAAGTCGACTTTGACCTAGTTTTACGGCTTTCGAGAAAAATTTGAGTTCGGCCAAATCCTACCTTAATCTATCCCGGATATGAAAATCCTTTGTTATCCATTGTCAAGGAGTGGAAACATTCTCGTTGGGTTTTTGTCAACTCTGGCTAAACCAAAATTGACAGAAGCCCAAAAGGTTCAAGTCATCTTTATAAATCAGTGTAAAATATAGGCGAAAGTACAAATTATGCTTTACTTTGTAATTTTTGTGTAATTATTAATATTAAATTAGGCAAAACGTTTCAAACTACTTACAGACACTGAAAGCACTGCAGCAGACAACGTTATTATCAAAGTAACCAAAATAGCTAAGGATATAAGAAAAATTAACGTTAAAAGATGGTAAACGTCTTTAACAAAATACATAATGACATACAGAAGAACACATATAACTCCAATTGCAGAACAGTATGAAATGGTAAGTATTCCAGTACATATAGAGTTAATGTTTGCCATCTGACGACGGCATTCGTTGTAGCTCTCACGAAAGTATTTAAGAAACTGCTTCAAATCGCACGTAGCTAATCGAAAATTAAACACTTTTTCCGATAAATTGTCAAATTTCATTTTTATGATAATTATATTCAAAACCATTACTTTTGCAAGTAATAATCCAATTCCACCAATGAGAATATAATTAATGTTGATGAAAAAATAACAAAGCCCAGCATTGTATATATTCGTTGATTTTGCTACAATGGGCAATAATTTAAATGTGTGGAAAATACTCAAGTACACACAAATGCCCAAGAACGTTGTGAAAAAGTAATCAATTGCCGACATTTGCAATCTTTGTACGGAGCGCATCGTTTCATTGTAGAAATATCCGAAATTAATTTTGTATTTTTCGACAAACAACATGTTTAAGTATATACATAAAATGAGATATTGGTAAATAATGTGGGCAATTGCAGCTGTTGCGTTGTCCTTTCCAAATAAATCTAAATGATTTGAACATATGTAAACCGATTGCGATTTTGGAAGATATAACATCAAATGTAATATAATATTCCAAGCCACAATGATGATTACACTTATACTTTGTTGAAATTTCACCCGAAAAGATTTTCTGCATTCATTATGATGTCGGCATTTATAAATGTTTTGTATTCCGAATAATTTCAGGAAATTTATAGTCGGAGAAAGAATTTGACACGAACAACTTCTGATGATTCTTTCTTCGAAACACTGTTCCATGTTAAATAATCTAAGTGTGTGACAAATGAAATGAAAATCTAATGGGCTCAATCAATAAAGAAGTAAAAGATAAAAGAATGGCAAAATTAAATACGTTTCTAGTACTTCGTTTTCGAATATATTTTTTATTAACTTAGAGACAGGCCAGTGAAAATGGAACAAATTTCTGAAAGATATTCACATAGAGTCGCACAGATAAACTATTCTATTTGTTCGAAGTGTTTCGCTATAGATATAATTTCATTTTACCTGTTTTCTCTTTCAATGCACAAATCCTTCCTTTTATGTCTTAATATTGCATTATTTTTTTATGCATAGAAACTATATCCATCAAATTTGGTCCTCAGCACACTAAAAATAACATTTTTAATCTCCAACTTCTGATATTTTGGGAGTTACTGTTCTGAAATTGATGTACAGAAATATGATTCACTCGTTCCATTCAATTATAATAAGTGGTTTGGTAGTAGCTGTAAGGCATTTTTGATATTATTACGTGTAATTTATTATTGCCTCAATTTTATACTATAAGAATATATTATTTGCAAAGGACGATTAATAATAGCTTACAAATTCATTTATTTGAATGTTATTCTGATATTTTATGTTGTATCGTTTGTCTATTTTAATTTATTGTCTGAATGGATGATATAATACAAAATATCTATAATGCATTCATTTGACTTTTATATTTAGACAATAATGGATAACATATATACATAGATAACATCGTTTATTATTTTTATTTGATAATACATATTTCTAGTTGTGTAGGCCTAATTCCATTTGCAAATGTAATATCACTGCAAATGCGATTTGCCTGAAACTTTCATACTTTGTAAGTAATTTTTTCTAAGATAATACAATTTAAATTTTATTAAATGTAAATTTTAGTGTATGTAAAAAATATTATCAAAAATATATATATATACTAAGACCATTGTAGCACTAGTATTAACGGTACAATAATATAAATTATTGTGTATTAATTAGGGTTTCTCATTAAAAAAATTTATTAAAGTTGAGAATTGCCCTTATCGATTCAATTGTCTTTTAATGCATTTAGGAGAAGACAGATGTTATGTGTTTTTCATCTGTAGCCTGGAAGATTTCTAGTTCTAGTTTTCTTTTGTCATCTAGTATTTTTGATTTGTCTATCTCGGTGTTTTAATATCGGCATTGAGCTTATACCCCAATAATTCGGCAGTTCGTTTGGCTATAATAATCAGGTTTATAAAGAAAAACTTCATACTTGCATACTTCGTACTCGTTTGTATCCTCGCTCAATTTGCATAACCCGGCGTTATGCTGTTATTGAAGCTAATGGGCATGGTTAATTATTTCTTATTTTCGTGCGGGTCTCATCCTCTTTTTATCCTACATTGATTTGTGAAAGTGGAAAAATTTTGCGATTATCTACAATAGGTCTAGTGGTAGGCTACTCGAAGTCTTATTTTCCGAAGAAATCAATTCTATTCCTGATAGACGTGAAGATTTGTCGATTTCTGTTCTATGGTCTTCAGATTCAGCTGGAGCTTCATTTAGTGGTTGATCGGTCACTAATGAAGAGACAAAAAGTTCATCGTCTAGGACATAAGGATCAAATGGCTCAATTCCTGTAACTTCAAAAGCTTTTTCCGCAAGCTTCACTTTTGCTGTAGCAGAATAGGCTTATTTAATAATTCCTGCTAGATCTGTGCGCTTAATTATCTGACCTGGATGTTGAACTAGCCACTTCTCTGCTTTAGCTACATACGCAGTTTTCAGAAGACCGTAAAATCTCCTGTCTAAAAGCTGAATGACATGGCTTGCATGAGGCGGAAATGTTAAAAATTCTCTCGGCTGTATAAAATTCCAGGAAGAAAACAATGTGTTGAATGGTTGTCTGCAATAAGTAAGACGGGATTTTCTACATGCGACCAAAAATAAACAGATTTTACTTCAATTTTAAGTTATTTTTATATTCATTTGCATAATAATACACGTTAAATAACACAAATATATGCACACAAAATATAAAGTACATTTTTTGTGATGAAATGCCCCGGCTTTTGTGAAATTCTTGTATTTTGTGATCAAGCCGTGTAGTTTTATTTGTCGCTTTCTTTTTCTTTTCTTAAGCAAATGTCGGTAGCAGGAAATCGCATCCAAAATGCTTCGTCTTGCTTTTGCACTCCTTTTAAATCTGGACAATTCGCAACAATTTGATCAACGATGTTCTTGAAGGTCGTCGTGGTAAACCTGCAGAAACCTGCAGTAAGTCTTCAATATCCTGCTCGTCTACATCTCCTAGTCCTGCTGTATCGATTAGGTTAACAATTTGGTCAACGATAGGCTCTTATCGTTGAGAACTTTTGTATACCTTCAGCCATATCTTCTTCCACACTTCGTTCTTGCATTTATCAGTTAATTCTTGCCAAGCCAAGTCGATATTCCCTATGGCATCCATGATGTTATATTTTTTTTCCAAAATTGCACCAAACAAACGTAGATTTAAGAAAAGTACGGCGCTAGAACAAACTGCCACCTTTTGCCGATTTGTTCTTGTTCGTAAATAATCGTATACAATACGATTATTTACGAAACTGGAACAAGGCTGAGAAGAAACTGGAAGATTGGAGGAAAGTTTTGGAAGAAAGGGCATGAAGACTAACAGAACTAAAAACAGCTTATATGACTCTGAATGGTAGAGACGAGTGTAATATTAAACGTGCCGCTCCCTTTGGTCCCGAGTTTTAAATATCTTGGGACATTTGTCGAGATGAGAGGAAAATTGAACTCGGAGGTGCAGCATAGAATTCAACGTGAATGGATGAACTGGAGGAAGCCGAGCGGTGGGTTATGCGACATGAAAGTTAGCTGCAATCTGAAAGGAAAATTGGATAAATCAGTTGTTAGACCTGCAATGTTATATGGAGCGGAGACATGGGCAATAACAAGAGCCCAAGAAAGAAAGATGGAGGTGGCGGAGATGAGAATGTTGCGATGGATGTGTGGATTGTCAAGGAAGGATAGAATAAGGAATGATTTTATTAGAGGTTCTGTTAAGATGGGCCCCTTGAGCAAAAAGATGCAAGAATGTAGTTGAGGTGGTTTGGCCACGTAGAGCGAAAAAGCCACAATTATGTTGAAAGAGGATCGAAAAACTGGTAATAAAAGGAAAGAGAAAAAGAGGAGACCAAAGATACGTTTGAAAGATAAGATGGAAGAAGACTTGAACCAGGGGGACTTAAGAGAGAATAAACCCTTGATAGGGAGAAATGGAAGAGACGTATTAGAGAAGAAACGCCGACCATATATAAACATGGGAAAAGACGAGGATAAAGAAGGATTAATGAGTGAAAAATACTTAAATCCTATAAAAATTTGATGGAACCAGGTTAATAGTAAAACTCAAAAAATTCGTCTAAATAAAAGAAACTTTTGAAAGCTGTGACAAGAATACTGGAAGCAGATTTGACAATATGACTCAAGATGAAAATAAAGTGCACATTAGACAGACAACTACGGAAGTGTTAGATAAATCAGTGTCACTATGACAATACATCACGAAAATAAAGCATAATTACAAAAAAACCTTCGATCTTCGGGCATTGTTCTTAAAGTCGTTCCAGCGAAGAGTTGCTTAACTTTCTCGGGACCTTTAAAACTGCGTGTGGCGCCATCTGTTATGACATTTTATTAAAATAACTTTTTTTATATTATTAATTATTATAAAATGAATAAAGCTTAATTTTAAGAATAGCAATGAATTTTATTTAAAAAATTGTGAATCATGGTCTAGTTCATGGATTATTAGAAAAGAATATAAGGCATTATTTCAAAGTGAAACAACACAAAGAACATAAGAACTGAATGCCACACAATACTATTTATGAAATAGATAATGATTAATTAACCACTTAAGTGAAGAAATATCCGTGAAATATTTTCAAGTTATTTGCTAATTGCTATCATAAGCAGTTTTACAATTGAATTTATTAATAATTTTATCAATTTATCATCTAATTCAAGTAATCGACATCAGTTCAATTAATTAAATTTAATTCCATTGTATTATCTTGGAAACAAATTACTTATAAAGAATAAAAGTTTTCTGGCAAATGTCATTTATTATATTTGAAGTTTTCTGGCAAATGTCACTTATTATAATTGAATAAAACGAGTGAATCATTAGCAATGATATTGCATTTGCAAATGGAATTACATAATTGGAAGTGTGTACTATCAGACAAAAATAAAAAAAGAATTTATGTTATCCATTATTGTATAAATGTCAGTATAAAAGTCAAATGAATGCATTATATCAATAGATATTTTGTATTATACTATCCATTCAGACAATAAATTAAAATAGATAAACGATACAATATAAAATATCAGAATAACATTCAAATAAATGAATTTGTAAGCTATTATTAATCGTCCTTTGCAAATAATATATTCTTATAGTATAAAATTGAGGCAATAATAAATTACACAGAATAATATATCAGAAATGCCTTACAGCTACTACCAAACCACTTATTATAATTGAATGAAACGAGTGAATCATATTTCTGTACATCAATTTCAGAACAGTAACTCCCAAAATATCAGAAGTTGGAGATTAAAAATGTTATTTTTAGTGTGCTGAGGACCAAATTTGATGGATATAGTTTCTATGCATAAAAAAATAATGCAATATTAAGACATAAAAGGAAGGATTTGTGCATTGAAAGAGAAAACAGGTAAAATGAAATTATATCTATAGCGAAACACTTCGAACAAATAGAATAGTTTATCTGTGCGACTCTATGTGAATATCTTTCAGAAATTTGCCCCATTTTCACTGGCCTGTCTCTAAGTTAATAAAAAATATATTCGAAAACGAAGTACTAGAAACGTATTTAATTTTGCCATTCTTTTATCTTTTACTTCTTTATTGATTGAGCCCATTAGATTTTCATTTCATTTGTCACACACTTAGATTATTTAACATGGAACAGTGTTTCGAAGAAAGAATCATCAGAAGTTGTTCGTGTCAAATTCTTTCTCCGACTATAAATTTCCTGAAATTATTCGGAATACAAAACATTTATAAATGCCGACATCATAATGAATGCAGAAAATCTTTTCAGGTGAAATTTCAACAAAGTATAAGTATAATCATCATTGTGGCGTGGAATATATTATTACATTTGATCTTCCAAAATCGCAATCAGTTTACATATATTCAAATGTTTTAGATTTATTTGGAAAGGATAACGCAACAGCTGCAATTGCCCACATTATTTACCAATATCTCATTTTATGTAGGGGAGATCGGGGCAAGATCGGCATGTTAAGCTTTACTTAAATTTTGTGTAATAAATACTGCTGTAAACTGAAAAAAAAGCTTTGCATATTGTCTATTGGAATGTTACCTTACTATAGAACTGGTTAAAATCAGTTTGGAAATAAAAATAATAAAAATAATTACAACTTTACAAGAAGAGAGAAATTGACGAAGTTGCCCCGGGTATAGGGGCAAGATCGGCAACTTCTCTCTTTTTGTAAAGTTGTAATTATTTTAATTATTTTTATTAAAGTTGCCCCTGGTATAGGGGCAACAGTAATGGGGCAAGATAGGCACGTATATAAAATTATGTTATTAACAATGTATAAGTTGGAATTCACTATTAAAACAAAGAAATACAAATCCAACACCCATTTAATATTATTACAACGAAATGNCTATGCATAAAAAAATAATGCAATATTAAGACATAAAAGGAAGGATTTGTGCATTGAAAGAGAAAACAGGTAAAATGAAATTATATCTGTAGCGAAACACTTCGAACAAATAGAATAGTTTATCTGTGCGACTCTATGTGAATATCTTTCAGAAATTTGCTCCATTTTCACAGGCCTTTTCCTAAGTTAATAGAAAATATATTTGAAAACGAAACGTATTTAATTTTGCCACTCTTTTATCTTTTCCTTCTTTATTGTTTGAGCCCATTAGATTTTAATTTTATTTGTTTAGTGTCACACACTTAGATTATTTAACATGGAACGGTGTTTCGAAGAAGGAACCATCAGAAGTTGTTCGTGTCAAATTCTTTCTCCGACTATAAATTTCCTGAAATTATTCGGAATACAAAACATTTATAAATGCCGACATCATAATGAATGCAGAAAATCTTTTCGGGTGAAATTTCAACAAAGTATAAGTGTAATCATCATTGTGGCTTGGAATATTATATTACATTTGATGTTATATCTTCCAAAATCGCAATCGGTTTACATATGTTCAAATCATTTAGATTTATTTGGAAAGGACAACGCAACAGCTGCAATTGCCCACATTATTTACCAATATCTCATTTTATGTATATACTTAAACATGTTGTTTGTCGAAAAATACAAAATTAATTTCGGCTATTTCTACAATGAAACGATGCGCTCGGTACAAAGATTGCAAATGTCGGCAATTGATTACTTTTTCACAACGTTCTTGGGCATTTGTGTGTACTTGAGTATTTTCCACACATTTAAATTATTGCCCATTGTAGCAAAATCAACGAATATATACAATGCTGGGCTTTGTTATTTTTTCATCAACATTAATTATATTCTCATTGACGGAATTGGATTATTACTTGCAAAAGTAATGGTGTTGAATACAATTATCATAAAAATGAAATTTGACAATTTATCGGAAGAAGTGTTTAATTTTCGATTAGCTACGTGTGATTTGAAGCAGTTTCTTAAATACTTTCGTGAGAGCTACAACGAATGCCGTCGTCAGATGGCAAACATTAACTCTATATGTACTGGAATACTTACCATTTCATACTGTTCTGCAATTGGAGTTATATGTGTTCTTCTATATGTCATTATGTATTTTGTTAAAGACGTTCACCATCTTTTAACGTTAATTTTTCTTATATCCATAGGTATTTTGGTTACTTTGATAATAACGTCGTCTGCAGCAGCTGTTTCAGAGTCTGTAAGTAGCTTGAAACCTTTTGCCTAGTTTAATACTAATAATTACACAAAAATTACAAATGCAGCGCTGAAAAAGTAAAGTATAATTTGTACTTTCGCCTATATTTTACACTGATTTATAAAGATGACTTGATCCTTTTACGGCTTCAGCTAACTTTGATTCAGCCCGAGTTGACAAAAACCCAACGAGGAAGATTCCAGTCTTTGACAATGGATGAAGAACGATTGTGCTCCTCATATCGGAATAGACCAGGATAAGACCTGGCCGAACCAAAATTTCATTTGGAAGCCGTAAAACAAGATCAAAGTCATTTTTGTAATAAATTCAGGGAATTGAACTGAAATTTGATCCGAGTATTCTGATCAGAAATGCGATACCACTAGTAGTTTACACTCATTAGCCGAAAGTAGAAAGAACAGAAAGATTGAATACTCTTGTTGAATAAATTACTGTATGTTAATGAGATCATGAATATCTCGATAAAAACAGCGTAGTTTTACTCAATGTATATATAAACTATATGGTTTTAAATACTTTGTTAGACTCGTACATACAAACTTACAAAGTTATGAAACATTCATTAGCACTTAAGAAGTCTGTTACGAGTGTTTGACGCTGATGTCCGTTGCTTTTTGCAAGACAATATATTCAATCTGCTGATTCATTGGGAAACATTTTGATTTAGTCTTTTGTGTTTTCCAAAAATTTCTAAAGAATATTTAATTAGCCAATTTTTTTGGCGATTTATTATTTTATGGAAGAATGTCCTCACTTATTTTGTAGTTGTTTGCCAAAGCTTGGCAAGCGCTAAGAATGTCAAGTAACCCTGTATGCAATTGTGCATACTCAATATGCAATACATATGCGAAATATGCTGTTAAACGCAGAAAATGCATTTAGTTTAAAGTGCATGTAGTTACATCGAAACAGGCGTTCGAGCGTTTGTTAAAAGCCAGAATACAGTGGGCCCCATTCTCTCGTTGCGGATTCCTTTTGCAATGCTTTCTTCTAAAATATGAATTGAATATTTCTGTATTAATGAAGTGTAGAGTTAAAGATTTTATTTTTGTTACTTTGTTAAGTTATGGCAACGCAACACTTGGGCGATCTGCCTA